GGGGGGGGGGCACTTGCTTGCTGTGTAAAGCGTTGTCACGTGGGAGGAGGGCTGTCCCTTCGGAAGGCTGCCCCCAACCTGCACGCTGCCCAGAGGGCCCCCACAGCACAGCATAGCTCTGGGCGTCTCGGCTCTGTGCCCTGGGCCACCAGAGGCAACCTGGAGCTCTCCAGAGAGTTTTGACACCAGTCCCAGCATCGCTGGCCACTGGCCGTGCGCCATGGGAGGTGTAGTCCAACACCTCCAAGGGGGCTTTTGCTGCCCTCTGCACGCTCCCCTGGATCTTTGGAGGACTGATCACATCATAACCTTGCTTGCCCGGGGCCCCTCAAGAGCCGTGGGGGCAGCTTGAGCCCCTCCAGATGTTTAGTCACTCATGGTGGACTACCCCAGCTGGGGCTGATGCGTGTTGTAGGCCAAAACATCAGGGCAGCTACGAATTGCCCGCCCCGCTCAAGAGCATGTCCTGCTACTGCTGGAAAAGCAACCGCTCGTGCCAAATGTGCTGGGCCACCAGCGTGTTCCAGAGCACATTAGTCAAGCAAGCCGTGGGTCTGGAGCCCGAGATTCTCACCCGGAGAGGAAGGAGACCCGTTGTGTCTCTGTGTGATGCACTGTGGTACTTGTAGGCGTGCCTCCTCCTCACGAGCCTTTGCAGCCATTTGGTTGCATCTCTGCCGAGGATGCATTTAGACCCCCAAATCCCTCCCAAGAAGAACAGAGCTAACCACTCCCACAGGAGGATGCCTGTTGCATCTCTGCATGAGTTACCGCTCCAACCTTGCTTCCCCCAGACCAGCTTCTGCTGGGGGCCACTCGCTCCGCTGCTTTGCTGCACCAGATCATCCGGTCCCTCCCCACGCAGCATTATCCGCCTCCAGAGGAAGTTCCTTCCTGCCGTGTCCAGGTGTGCACCTTTGGGTCACCCTCCTGCACCTTCCGAAACCCAACCGGTGTGTGTGCAAGCGTGACGTGTGCCTCCAGTTTTGATCTGTGAAGTGGGGTGTGCTGCTGCTAGCAGGGATTTGGGAAACAAGGCAGTTGGTCCTTCGAGGAGGAAGCCTTACCAGATGCGGCTGTACTCCCCTGCCCGCAGGCAACTGTTTCAGCTCCACGATGAAAGCAGGGTCCTTTTTAAAAAAGCTCCCCTTATCAAACCATGTCTTAGCCACGGTTGACATAATTTTGCCGTGTCCGCCCTAAGGGGCGTCTCTGCCAGGAAACCCCCTCCCTTCACGCCTCCTAGTGCCTCTGATTTATCCACCCTTTCCCAATCTATGGCGGTGACTGTTCAGATTGGAAGCCTTCCTTTTTGCCCTCCTTTCACTGGCCCCTCCGGGCATCGGCGCAAAGGGCCCTGGAGACGGCCTGGGCAGGATGGAGAGTCCTGCTTGTTTCTTCCGCTGTGTGGGTGCGTTACGTTAGGATTTCTGTGCCGGGTGGGGTTTGCTTTAATCACTGCTGTAGAGTCAGCTTAATAAAGTGACATCCAGAAGAACTGAGGCAAATGTTGGGATCTCCTTGGATGGGTGTGTGCTTTTTTCAGTGGCGAGAAGGCTTTGTTCAAAGGAGGAAAGGGAAAGGAAGAGAAGAACTGGCTTCTGTCTGGTCTCTCACAGAGCTCTTTGCTGTTTTAGAAACTCCCTCCTTTGAAAGTGGGAGCAGCAGCAGGGACCAGAGCGTGGCTTCTAATTACAGAGGGGTTATGAGGGACCAAGGTTGTCCCCATCTTTTGGAAGAGCTCCTGTGCCTTTAACAGTTGCCAAATTCAATGGGGCGGACTTGACGGTTCAGTGATGGTGGAGGCTGATGGCATAAAGCATGGCTGTGGGATATAATTAGGAGGTTTTGAAGAAATCAGCTGTAGCTACCTTTGGCACAAGTCTGCTGGGAAAGGCAGGAATTTGGGATCTCTGGATTTGTATCCTTTCATGACTGAATTGCTGTCTGTCACAGAGCTGGTTACAGGTACAGAAAACACTTGCAGGAAGGGGGAGGAATGGAGAGAGAGAAGGGGAAGGGTCCTTGGAATCAATGCAATTCCTCCAAAAAGTCAGACTGTGCGTGTCTCGTTTTATCGTGCTGGAGGGCAGAAAGGGGTATGAAGTGGCACTGAACATACTGTTTAGGTTTTCCCTCCACTCCCTCCTCTTTCTAAAGGCAAGTTTCTAGCCCTCTGTGTTACAAAGATATGCTAAGATGCATGCAGACATCCCCTGTCAAAATTGCAGAAGCCAGGAGAGGGGTCTGAATGAGATTCCAGGTAGTCTACAGACCACTGGCGAGGCTGCGCTGCAAAACCAGAGTAAGTGATCGCAAGTAGTAAGCATGTTGTGTGCTGTGCAAAACGGGACGCCAGCCAAATGAGCTCCAGGGGAAAACTGACTCGGGGCTGTGGAACTGAATCGCCAGTACCAAGGTCACAGCCCTGCTTATAACACAGGACTTTAGCGGCCCACCTTTGTCCTCACCGGGAGAGGGCTGGAGAGGGGCAGCTCTGAGATGGGGATGGGGCAGCAGAACCTCCTCCTACCACCTATGCCCCAGGGCAGCCCCCCTCCCACGTGTGGCAGGACCGTGCACACACAAAACCACAGTCCTAGGATTCCTTTCCTGCCTTCTCCTGCTCCATGCACCCCAGTACCGGCTCCTGCCCACCCCATCAGCCCCAAAAGAGACCAGCAGGCACACAGAAATCCACCACGTTTACTTCAATCTGGTCAGACAGACCTACAGACATGGTACAATAAACACACAGAGGCAGGAGGGACGAACGGAGAGAGTCAAGAGCTGGGACTGAATCGCAGGTGTGGATTAAAACAAGAGGTCGCACAGCAGCTTCAAAGCACAGCCCTGTGAGCGGCAGGGCACACGTCTTGAGATGGGAGGGGAATTCAAAGAATGTACACAATGCTTCATGATTTCCCCCCCTTTGCGCAAAACACATGGCAGGTATAGAGAGGGGGAGAAAGGCGAGACTGACTCTGCGGCTGCAGGGGGACAGCGCATCGCCCTGGGCGTTCCGCGGCCGCTAGGGGCAGCTCATCCGAACGGCGGAGGAAGCCACAGAGGGCACGAGGGGGACCGCAGCTGCGCAGCAGGGAGGACCACGGGCGGAACCTGAGGAAGAGGCAAGCTGCACCGGGGTGGGAAGCCCCGGGCTGCATCCAGCCCCCGCGGCCACCTGCAGCCCCCCGCCGCGGGTGTGCGTCCCCTCACAAGCCAAATCGCGCTCCCAGGAATGCGACGTGGCCTGGCTGGGAGACACCTGCCCCTGCGATCCAGGCGGCATGGGGCGAGGACTCGGCTGTGGCTGCCGGCCAGTTCCAGGAAGGCCGAGGCAGCCCCCGTGCTGTTCCAGAAAAAGCCCCCATGGGAAGAGGAGTGCAAACCTTGGACGGGACTATTCTGCAAGCCTACACAAGGAGGACGGGGCAGGACATGCTCCCTCGGACGGAGAGGCCACCTCCCCTTGCGCCGAGCACAGCCAGAAACGCGGCAGGCGGCGGCGTGGAGCACGGAGGGGCGTCTTCCAGGGTCTGTTCCTACGCAGCGCCGAGCAGGCAGCTCTTCCAAAGTGCTCAGCCTGGCCTCTGCCGCACTGGTCCTCACAACAGGCGGCTCGTGCTGGCTGCCCGGGAGCAGGGAATGAGAAGCCCTCCTCCTCGTGCCGCCGCCAGGCACCATTCCAGACCTCTCCAGTCTTGAGCGCTGGCCAGGAGAACACGGCAGGAGACCCCCCCCAAGCAGCTGCCGTCTTCTGTCATCTGACGGAAACGAGGGGCGGTTGCAGCCTCGGACCCCAACTCAAAGGTGGGTGGGAGTGTGTCCTGCGTCCCTAGGCAACCCAAGAGGGCTTTCTGCGTGCCCCGGAAAGAAACGGATCAAGTCCTGGCAGCTGGATATGTGGCAGGAAGGAGCGCGGGTGCCGAAGGAAACCGAGGAGACAGCAGCACGTGGCCAAAGGAGAGGAGCGCAAGCGCCCCACGCGCTCCTTGAGGCAGGTCTGGGAGCGGGACAAGAGCCCCAGGCGGGGGCCAAGCGGTCTGGAGCCAGCTCTGGGCTTTGCGTGCCTCCTTCCTCAGAAGCATCGCTTGCGACCGAACCGTGAGCCCCTTCCAGGAGAATGGAACGGCCTTGCAGTTGCTCTCCCAGACCTGGAGGGCAGGTGGGCAGCCGGCTGCTGAATGGCAAGGAGGCAGGGGCGGAGCCTGCACACCGCCAGAGGCTCTCTGCCCCTTCGAGCGCAGGGGTCGGAGGCCCACGGCCAGGGCAGCCCTCGTCCCACCAACTGGAGCAGGGAGCAAAGAGGCCACTCCACGTTCCCCTGCTCCCAGCCCAAACACCGCTTGACCTGCAAGACTCAGGTGTGGCAAAGGTGAGGTTTGGCAGGCTTCAAGAGGTCAAGAGCTGAGAGGAGGAGGTGATCCTGAGGCAGAGGCTTAACTGCAAAGGGAAGGGGCTCTCCTGTGAGGCAGGAGCGGGCAACTGGGAAGCTGGGCCAAGAGGTGGGGAGGGCCACCCGCAGATCGCCCGCCTGCCTGCCGGCCTGCCTGCCCCTCCAGTAAGTTGTTATGGCAGACGGGTGCGTGTGTGTGAGTCCCACATTCAGAGCTGCAGCTGGTGTGAATGAATCCTAACGGGCCAAAAAGCCCCGACACGCAGCAAGGGCGGGCAGGTGGGACGGGGGGAGATGCGAGGCTCGTGGATGCTCGTTTCGGAGGCGCAAAGCCAGCGATAGCAGGGTCCCCCCGAAATGCACCTGTTTAATGTGGGACACTGCACATCCGGAAAACCAGAACTCACTAAAACGTTGGAAACAGACAGAAAAACACACCAACAATGGAAGGATACACCGGAATGGGGCCTGAGGAGCTGCTGACTGCTGGCACAGGGCAGCTCCCGCTGCAGCCCTTATAAATAAGTTGGGTCAAGCTCACAGTGAAGATGCCATCGCTACAGAATCATGGCTGGGGCCACAGGAGAGAGACACTGAATGGCCTGCAGCCCAGGGGCAAGGTGGGCTCCTCGACGGGTCGTCTAATGCCCACGGTTGATAACAATGTCGTCATACTCCTCCTGACAAAGCAAAAAATGCCGTTACTTTCCCTCCCCGAGGCACCGGTGTGGGCGGGACTGGGCACAAGGGCCGAGACTGTACGGGCCGCAGTGTCCCGCCGACGCCGCGCCGGTGGCCTCAGGCACCGGTTCCCACGGCCAGCTGCCGGACTCACCTCGCTGTTGCTGTCCAGGCTCTCCTCGGAGTCCCAGTCCGGCTCCTCAGAGCCAAACTCCCGCAGCAGCTGCGGGATCTTTTGGTCGGGCCGGTGCACAGCGCTGTACATGGGGGTGTAGCCCACGTACATGCGGGCTTCAGGGTCCGCCCCGGCCTGCAGCAGGCACTCCACCACCTCAGGGTTCTGTGACTCCACTGCCAGGTGCAGGGGGCTGCGGCCGCAACTCAGCTCCTGCCGGTGAGAGGAGAAAAGGTGAGGCGGGCAGCAGCGGGTGTCCAAGCAGTTGTGGGGCCGCTGGTCAGTGAAGTCCTGCTCTGGGGTGGAAATGCTGCGCTGCCAGGGCTACTCAGCAGCTTAACGTTCTACTCCAGCCCAGAGCACTGGCTTATTTATTTATTTATTTATTTCAAACATTCCTATGCCGCCCCATCGCAACAAAGCCTCGGGGCGGCTCACAACACATAAATAAATACAGAAGTAATAAAATAAATAAGTACTAACTTATACAATAAATAACACCCCCCCAGTGCATTCTCGGCTAATAATAATAAAAAACAAACAAACCCTAGTTAATAATTAACAGTTAAAAGAAGTTTTAACTAAAAAGGTCTTGGCCTGGCGCCGAAAAACAAATAACGACGGCGCCAGGCGGACCTCTCTGGGGAGCGCATTCCATAGATGGGGCGCCACCGCAGAGAAGGCCCTGCTCTGGGTGCTCACCCTCCTAGTCTCATTCACAGAGGGTTCCCGGAGGAGGGCGGGAGGGCATGTATGGGTGCAAGCGTTCCTTTAGATAACGTATCTGCGAGCCCCATGTGAGGCATCCCTTGCGGACGCACAGCACCGCATGTGTGGAGTACAGGCCTAGCCTGGGTGAAGGCCCAGCTTTCTGGCTCATCTTTGTTTAAAAACAAGCAATTTCCAAGGCCTCAGGGCTTGAAATATATCCGGAACACGGCAGCCGGTGCCTGCTGAAGGCACAGACACCGGAAGGGCGGCAAGGGAAGGTTCCTAGTGGTGGAGGCAGGGAACTTCTCGTGCTCTGCATCTAAGTCAGTCTTGCTCAACCTGGCGTCTTCCCGGTGCATTGGTCTACGACTCCCATCACTCCTAGCTAGAATAGCCAATGGAGTTAAAGGATTTACCCAAGAAGCCCTCGAAGCAGCTCGCACAGAAATTAAATTTAAGACAAGAAAATAGCTCCGAGCACTCCTAAGGGTGCAGGAGGAGGCGGCGTTCTGGCAAGAGGCCAAAATGCCAGAATAAATTGGGCAAACATGGCTTCATTCGCATAACGCTACAGGTTATGAGGCTCAGCATTTCTCAAGGCAGAATTTCAGTTAGATCACTAACGAGGAGCACCCAGGGGGCTGCGAGCCGAGACGGGGAGACCTGTCACCCTCCAGATGGGGACTGGAGTCCACCTCCCATGATCTCCAGCCAGCAGGGCTGATCGATGGGAATGATGGCGCTGGAGTCCAAAAAGCTGCGGGAGCCCATAGACGCCCCAGGCCTGTTGGCTGGACGGGTCGATTACTATCTAGCAGCCTTCCCCGCCCTTCCAGGTGTGTTGGATTACTCCTCCCATCAGCTTCCAGTTAGCTTGGAGTTGCAGTCCAGTATTTCCAGAAGGCACCAGGCTGGAGGAAGCCGGTTTTGGAGGAAGGTGGAACTATAAAACCACTGGAAACTTCTTTCTGCTCGTAGCACCGCTGCCAGAGAAAAACACAAGGCTGTCCCTGTAGCGGTAGGAACAATTTCATGCCGTCAGCTGCCTACACAGGAAGTCAGCGTATACCGTCACACAGGATAATCACACGTGCATCGATTTCACCACCGCCGCCACCTCCAAAACTAACCGGTTTGTTGAGATCGGATCCTGCAGAGATGAGCAGACTGATTAGGTCCAGATCTTTCCGCAAGACAGCGATGTGAAGGGGCGTGTAGCCTACAGAAAGACAACAGAAGTTTTGTGGAAATCAAGCCAGGCAGCTGTGCAGAAAAGGAATCTGCCTATTTGCATTACACGTCAACGTTCTGCAAGCAAAATGTGCAAATGAGTAGAGCCGCAATCTTACACATGCACAGAGAGAAAGTTCCCATTGCTAGCATTCTGCAGCAAACATGGATAGGCCAGAGACCAAATTACATGAATACATTTACATCAGCCCAGTTTAGATCATTCCAGCTGCAAATTTTTGCTTTTTCCAGAGTTTGAAAAAGGAAATTTGGAAAAGGAAATTTGAGGTGAGCACAACAGTACGGAAGGAAGAAAGGAGAATATATTACTAGAGAATAGAAAAAAAGGTTTGGAAAAGGAGGACATAATAACTAAACAAAGAAATAAGAAAAGCTCAAAAACCATCAGTCATAGAAGCCTATCCAATCTTCTCCAAACAACATACCAGTCTTTAGCCTTTACATTTAAGACTTTATGCTTAGAAGGAATGCTGTCCGTGCATTCCCCCTACCCCATGTGGACTAGAAACATTTTCATTTTAAAACTGCTCCTGGCTAGCCCAATGGATACCACATTCCAGAGGTCTTCCAAGAGGAAAATATTACCCAAGGACCCCCAGGAAACGTACCATCGTAGTTAGTGCAGTCCAGCTGGGCCCGGAAACTGTTCTCCTCGCAGGGCCTCTGTGCCACGGGCGGAGAGAGGAGCTGCTGAGCAGCATCCCGCTGGCCCTCTCGGCAGGCCAGATGCAGCGCCGTATGGCCGCCCTTTTCCTGCACGCACAGCTTGGCTCCTGCCGACACAAGTTTGCCCACGAAGTCCGAAGCCCCGAGGATGACAGCGATGTGCAGTGCTGTCTGCAGAGACGGGAGAGAGAAGCCCTTACCTGCAGAGCAGGGGTTTCCAGAGGCCCTCTCCTCCACCCGACGCACTAAGAAAGCGGGGAGCCTGCTAGTGCACAGGCCCATCAGCCGACTTCGACCTGGCGGCCTCCGGATATATTAAACTGTGCCTCCAACATCCACCAGCCAGCCGTTCTGAGAGCTGCCGCCCGATACACCTGGAAGGCAGCAGGCTGAAGAGCGCCGAGCTGCACTGTGGGAACCCAGCCATGTAAGAGGCTGCACGAAACCCAGCCGGACGGTCTCCATTTTCCCTATTTTGGTCTACTTTGACTTAGGGGGTCTCTCAAGCAGAAGAGGGTCTTTTTCCATCCTTCGGGCGCAGCTGCCAAGGATGTGTTGTGGGCCCTTCTGGACAGTACAGATGCTCACCCCAGGCAAGCTATGGTCACTTGGGCTTTTAACGGCAGCCTGACACACAGAAAAGTCGCAGGAGTCAGGCCCGGGTGGGTGTCAGATTAATGTATCTTTGGTCACAGGCAGGTTCCACCCAATTTCCACATCAGTCTGCAATTTCGACCGGGGGGAGGGGCAGGGCAACGCAGGAGAATTGACATCTTTTGTACACAGAATGTAGCCATTTTTGAGCCAGTAATTGCATCATAAGATTTGGAAAAGTGCACAGTCTGGAGCATAACTGGGCTCACACTGGGTGCGGAAATGCAAAGTGCGCATACCAAGCGCATTCCCCAAACCCTGGGCCATGGGAGCACGGCAGGAGGTCGAGGCAGCTCCAGGGCGCAGATTCCTCCCCCGGAGGGAGAAAAGAACCTAGTAGTTACCCCAAAAGGGGCTGAGAGTCCTGCATTCAATGCATAGCCGGATTTCAGAAGGTTAAAGGGATGCAAATATGGCTTCCTGCATGTTTGAGGCCCTATTCAAGGTGCTGTTTATGACCTTTAAAGTTCATTATAGGATGGGATCAGGGTATCTGAATAACGTCTGTTTCAACCTCTCAAACATTAAGATCTTTTCCCTCTTCATTCAGAGGTGATGGGAGCGGCAACCAGAGAGAGACCCTTTGCAATGGAATGACAGGCTAAAGAGATAATCCTGGTAACTTTATGTTTTAGGACACTGGTTATGCCAAACAGTTCTTTTTATTGTATTTGATCTACTTGCTGATATTTTATTATTTTTACTTCTGCTCTTTGTTCTAAGAATAATGTCTTCATATGCATTACTTTGAGCTTTGATTCTTACTGCAAACCTTTAATTTTTAAAAAGTTGTACACAGCCTTGAAATTTAAACTGAGAACTTAGAAGCTGCAGCTTATACGTGTTTAAGGATTAAGGAACGAACCAAACATTCTTTCTTCAGTCCTGTAACAGGGCCGGGGGCGGAGGTGGGGGGCGGTCCTCCTATGTCTTTCTGAGCTCTGGGTAAGCAAGGATCATACAGAATGAAGCAAAGCGCATCTTAATCCAACCTGTCCAAGGTCATTCTGAATATCCAGGTATTCTGTCCCTTGGGTGTACTGCAGGATGGAATCAAGGAAGGCCTCGTGTTCGTGAATGACAGCCAGGTGGAGAGCGCTGAAGGCGACAGGAAAGAACAGACACTGTTAAGGACTGCGCTGCCAGAAATGATAGGAGTTGTTGACAGATTATCTCGATGGCGTCAACTTGGGGAAGTGTCTTGAGGAATACTCAAGTGTCTGAAAACACGTTCTATGAGACAGCCGGGAGCTGCTAAAAGCAAGCTCAAAGAGACGCAGGTTCTCATAAAGGCATTGCCTCAACATTTAAATTGAGCATTACTTAAGTAAAGAGGTCTGTTTGACTTGAGTTACGTTCATCTCAGAAGAGATCAGAATGTTCTGATGCAAGCAACGATCATATGAGAGGGATCATTACAAATTGCTAGAGATGAAAAGCTGCTTTCTAATCTTTTCTTTCCAACTGTGGCAATTTGAAAGGGGCTCTTCAGCTATGGATACCTGTAGTGGTTGCCAGAGCAGCGGCCACTACAGGCACAGAAATTCCTTCGGCAGACACAGTGCCTCCTCAAGCTGTGAGAGACTGTCTCACGCTCGGGGAAAGTGCGCTTTGCAGGCTGAGCATCTGCCTGAAGTGCAATAGCTGCACGTCCGAAGCAAGCGTGCAACCAACAAACTGCACGGCTGTGTACATTTCTTTGGTGTTTACGAGAAAGAGAGATGCCAGGGGAAACTCAAGGCCAGTTTCTTTCTGACAGGGTTTCCAGTTTTCAATCACCCGAGACTTCCTACGCATTCGCAGCCGACCGTGGCTGGGTCACCTTGCCTGCATCCCCAGGTACGTACGTGTCGCCGTCCTCGGTCATGAAACCCAGCACATGGTGCAGCCAGGCCTCGGGGGCCACTGCCGGCACCTCACTCTCGAGGCGCACGGCCCCCACGCCTTCCACGAGGGCCCCCACGTCCTCATCGCCTGCCAGGGAGCCCCCCAGGGCAGAGTCCAGCCGCTCCAGATCGTCCTCCTCCAACTGGGTCTTCTGGGGACAGCCGGCACTCAGGAGGGCCGGGTCAGAGGTCACCGCAAAGCCCCCCGCGCCCATCTCTCCGTCGCCCGGCGCAACCAGGCCGCCCTCTTCCCGGAGCTGGCCCAGCTGGGCCTCGCTGAGGGAGCCCAGGCCGCTGTCACACCAGTCGTCGCCGACGGACCCGGCCTCGCTGCGTTTGGGCTCCCGCGGCCCGCTCGGGGCCACCTGCTCCTGCAAGGAGGCCATGGCGAGCGCGGGTCCTACGGCGCGGCTCTGAAGGAGCCCAGGGCCATACGGGAGCCCCGGCAGGGGAGCCCCGGTCCCGCGGATGCTCAAGCTGCTCCTCCTGCGACAGCTGCCATGGAGGGGAATTGGAACACCTGGGGAATCCCCAGACGGACGCGCTAATTGCGCTCCCGGGGCATGCCGGGAGTTGCAGTCCTTCCCCGCCTCCTTCGGCCGCTCTTTCGCGAGGCATGCCGGGAAGTGGGGTCTTGGCGCGTCCTCCCGCTCCGGCATCGGGTTGCGTCGCGGCGCCGTTGTGTTCCCGAGCTGGGAACGGTAGTTCGCAGGCCCAGCCGTGCTTGGACGTATGAGGCAAAGGCGGGTTGATTCGTTCCTGCCTATGGTTTCGCCTTTAGGCTTGTTGCTATTCTTATTCTTAATATTAGACGCAAGCTATTCCTATTTTGGCAGGAGAAAATGGCTGGGGCATGCTGGGAGTTGTAGGGCTTTTCTGTCAAAATATGTATAGAATCGCGTCCTAATTCTGCGCGCTGGTTTGGTCGTTGGATTTCTCATTCCTCCTCGCCTTTCCCTTTTCATTCTCACCTCGCGTTAGGCTGCCTTAAACAGAAATTAGTTTAAGGGGCGGGGCCGCCCGGCAGCTCAGCCGTTACGACATACGGGCTTGAAAAAAGCGTCACCAGCCTCCCCCCTCCTCCCGCAACGCAAGGCACGCCGGGTTATTGAGCCGCCCCGAGAGGGCCCCATCTGCCGCCCACCATTGGCTGACACGGACGCCCCCTTCGCGTCCGGATAGGGCGCTGTCCCCGTCCTGTGGTGGCGATTGTTGTTGTTCTCGGGTGTTGTTGCCACGGGGCGTTTGAGCCTCGGCTTTTGATTGGTCGTTGTGCCGCGATGCTTCCTGGGGGTTGTAGTATTCCTGTCAGGGTGACAGCGGCGGCTGTGCAGTTTGCCCTGCTCCGCGGCTCCCCTCAGAGTCGGAGTCTGCGGCGCGGGGACGCTTCATGGAAAGCGGGGAAGGTAACGGAGACCATGCGGGATGGGTGGCCCGGGACGGAGGAGGAGGAGGAGGAAGGCGAAGGCCTCGGCCTCCTCCGCTGCGCTGAGGAAACTGCTACCTCACTCGCCCACTCTTTGTTGTGTCTTGTCTTATGGCAGGCCCGGGAGCTGAGGCCGAGGCCGAGGCCGCCGCCGAGGCCGCCGCCGCCGCCGCCACCGAGAGGGGCTCAGGGTCGTCGGTGAGAGGCTGGGCGAGGAAAGAGGGTGGAGGGTGTCACTCCAGAACCGCGGTGGCGCTCAGCCCCGAAGGGGCTCCTCAGGGGGGAGAGGCCCCGAGCAGAAAGAATCAAGCGGGGCGGCATGAGGAGGGGGCCGCGGGAGATGACCCCCGGCTGGGCAAAGAGCCAGCTAAGCTCTTCGGCTGGCTCTGCCTGGTTTCTGGCCGTGGAGCCAGCGGGCGACTCTGGGCCAGGCACAGACTCTCAGGCCAGCCTGCCTCACAGGGTTGTTGTGGAATAAGGTTGAGAGTGGTAGGAGGAGAATGAGACAAGCCATTTTGAGTTCTTTAAAAAGAAGTAAGGTGGGATATAAATCTAATAAATAAGTTGGGAGGATCCGATGTGGCCAACATTTGGGGGGCATTTGTGACTTTGCTTAGCAAGCATCCCCAGCAGCAGTATGGTGAGAAAGGCCTCCCAAAGATTTGGGACTCCACATGAGAGACTCGGGTCTTGATTGATACCAGGCTGCCCTTTGTCTCTGCCTCTGTCTTCTCCTCATGTAAATGAGTGCTTCAAAAGAGTGTCGAGAGGTAACTTTCTGTACTTTAGGGCTGCAAGGTTGGCTTTAAGAATAAAATCACATGCACATGCTCATGAGTTGTTCAAGGTACTGAAAAGATACAGGGTTGAGACCCATGGGCCAAAAGCACTGCATATATTTGCATCTAATTTACATGAAGTCCCAGTGTGTATAAATGACCTGACTCCTAAGGGCACCCCATTTATAAAAAAGATGTGGTTTTTTTCTTCTTTGAAAGATTCCAAGGGGAGGTGGTAGGAGGAGAAGGGCATGTGGGCAGAAAATCAGATGCAACTCAAAATGTCTGTACCTTTATTTCAGTAAGTGCCCAGGATAACAGGATGCTGGGGTAGGTGGTCTCCCAGAAGTTCTGGGCTTTAGATGAAAGATTTGGGACTTCAGTCCTAGTGGACTGCTTTCCCTCTCTTTCAGATTGGGGGAACAAAGAATGAGGATGTTTATTGGAAACAAAAAGAAGTGGTGGGAAACAATGGGAACTGCTACAAAGGACAGGTGACCAGAGCCTCAAATAGATCCTGAGAGGTCATGGAATGGGCTTTTGGAAAGTGGGACATGAAAACTCATTTCAGCAAGAACACCACGTAATTCCATCTTTCTCAGTTTAGGCATTGCTCAATCTCATTGGTGGATCGTGTCAGTCCCAGTTCTACCCTCCTATATGTTGATGCCTGGTGAACAGATGGATAGCGTTCAAATATTTGAAATGATAGAGTTGGTGCAAGAAGCAGTTGTGTCAGGTTATACAATGGTAGATTCAGCTTAAGCATTCAGAGTGGCTGCTAAGAAAGGACAATCTTACATTTCATTCATTGAATTTCCACCCCACCCTGTTTATGTTTCAATTCAGGATTCGGATTCTGATGACGAAGCTGGAGCTTCTGGTCAGACTGAAAGTAGGTGCTTTTTTGCTTGGGTGTACGTAGGCCTGTGGAAGTTCAGGTTTTACTTAATGAAGTAAGTGGAGCCTAGCATGTATAAATTGAGGCAAAATATATTTGTATAAATTTGAAAAACTACTGTCATTACGAAATGTCTGTGCCTAAAGTAAATGAGAAGTGATTCATTTCTAAACAAGGATAATGCCTGACTTACAATAACTAGGTTAGGAACTTAGATTCTTGCTCGAAGAGCAGCCAAGTAGCTCGTTCTTTTGCTTGAAGAGCCAGCAGTTGTGTGTTTGCAGCCTGCTCAGTATCATGGTAGCTAACTATTCATATCTGGGAAGTTTGGGTGTCTGGGAAGAAGGTATTTTAGGTACTTGGAATTTGAACCCACAGCGTAGCAATACTTATTTCTTCTCCTATGTCATTATCAGGCTCTTCTCTGGTGAGAAATTACATTGCTAGCAGAGGGACTTTTTAGTTTGCAAATGCCTCTCTGTAAGTAAGGTATGTCTTCTAGAAATATGTAGGGCTCACCTCACTGTTAAGCAAGTTGAGATAGACAGCAAATCTTGGACTACCATAAAAAGACAGGAAATCTTTCAAAGATTGCTTTGCAGGAATCAATATTTGTTTCTGTCTCAGTCATCAAATTGTCTTTGGCTGTATCTGGGCAGGATGAGGAGCTTATGTTTAGCAGAAAAAAAGAAAACTGGTTTTATGAGAATGTGAACAGAATTTGGGAAGATCCCAGCCAAGCTCTCTGCCTTGCCCGTCACTCTCTAGGCTTTTCCTAAACAGAGAAGAGAACCAGGAGTTTGATTCTTGCCTTTCATACAGTTTGCTTCTATTGTATTGAAAAGTTATTGTGTTTTGATTGCAAAACAGTCTGAAGAAGGCCCTCTTATGTTTCAGAGTTCTTATTTTGTTAGATTGTTTTGACAAGACAGAGTAGCAAACGTTTGGGCAACAAAGAACTTTACTTCAGGCAGCAGCTCAGAACAAAATCCATAGGCCCTGGACCTCAGGGACCCCCTGTGGCTAACTTGATGGACATCTCCCTCTCTCCCTCTCCCTCTCCCTCTCTCTCTCCCTCTCCCTCCCTCTCTCCCTCTCCCTCTCCCTCCCTCCCTCCCTCCCTCCCTCCCTCTCTCTCTCTCTCTCTCTCATATATCAGTGGAATTTTTACGAAACTGCTTGTCCCGGACTCTGGGCTTGGGCAGTGAGAAGCCTGAAAAGGTGCTGGATGAGCTGACTTTGGAGGGTGTGAGCAAGTTCATGCTGTCTGACAAATGTAAGCCAGTTCTTCCTTTCGAGGTTGGCTTCTACCCTTTTCATTTAATTCCTTCCCCCATCAGCCTCTGTAAGAGCTATAAAATGCTGAACTGAAGCAGTGCTGAGGAGCGCTTCAGTCAATGGAAAGGGAGTAGAATAAAGAGCCCCTAACTGGGAACGGATTGATGTGTGCAGTGTGTACCTACTGCATTAGTGGGTGGAGAGGTTGTGTTAATCAGAGGATACACTGATTAATATTGATCTTGTGTTACGGACTTTCTCAATAGCAAGGATTGCCTGTTTTCCATTTTACAGATGGGGAGTTGAAGTTGAAAGACTAATTTGTCCAAGGCCACCCACTCAGCTCTTGGTTAAGCAGGGGGATTGCACCCCAGCTTGTTAAAGCTGATATCTTATCCATGGAACCTCCCAAACTCTCTTGCTTTGGCTGCCTGCTCTGAAATGTGGTGTTTTTACCCAGGAACATGCTGGAGTTCTATCATGTGAATTTAAAGAGATGGAGGCTAAGAAGTGCCTCTTTCTTTTTTTGTTACAGGCAAGAAGGTAATATGTATGGTTGGAGCAGGAATCTCAACTGGTGAGTTTCACAGGGCTTTATTGAGCATGCATGTCCTCCTCCTATTTTGGGCGGTATCAACATGAAGTAAAGGAGCAAAGTGATTCTGGCTGGTGGAACATTTCTGAAAATCTTTCCCATTGAGCATGTCTAAGCCTTGGCGTTCTCTCTAGCCATGATAGTGATAAATAGTCTCATCTCTTGGCGTATGTACAGCAGGGGTCCCCAACTCTGCAGATGCCATGGCAACAGTGGGTACATTCATGGCACCCATTTTTAAAAACTTCTTTCTGCTGTGTGTGTGTGGTTTTTTTTTTTTTTGAAGTAAATGTTTTCTATTAATTATACAAAGGCTTCAAGAAAAGCAAACCACATATCTAAATAAGTATCCATTTGATGTTGGTGTCTATATGGTACCTGTTCATACACAGAAAATGTTGCAAGGTCTTCAATCCATTGCATTCTAGGAGATACGTGTTTATCTTTCAATTTTATATCAGCCTTTTAACTGTTAAAAGGGTATGGAGAATCCATTTCCCCTTCCATTTTTTAATTTCCATGAAGCAGACAAATAATTTAAAAGACTAGTGAATATTAAGGACTGTATCAATACAGAATTTATCTGTGTAACAATTTCCTCCCCTACACAAGCAATTGATGATTTCTAACCAGGCTCTTTCAGCACTATGTGCCTGGCAGGATTCTTCAGCTACTTTGATGGCCTTCTGTCTCTGCAACTGCATCTTTTCACACAGTGTCTTTGTCCCTCTCAGCTGCAGGGATCCCGGACTTGCGTTCACCAGGCACGGGAATCTATGCCAATCTTCAGCAGTACAACCTACCATACCCAGAAGCCATTTTTGACATCAGCTACTTCAGGGTACAATACTTGAGTCCCTTGCTTCTAACTGGAATGTGCTGTGCTCCATTGAGGTTTCCTTCTTTGTACAACCTGTTCTGTTTTTCTGTCCTGATTTAGCAACATCCAGAGCCATTCTTTGCTTTAGCCCGGGAGCTTTATCCAGGGTTCTTCAAGGTAAGTGCTTGTGTTTTCTTTGGCAGTTTTCTTGATCTAGAATTAGAGGATCACTGAAGGAGAGGGACTGGATATAGGATGTCTTACAAGGGATTGAAGTTAGGTGGCAACACTCCTAACTTCTGGCCTTGGATTTGAGTGAGGGCTATAATCTTTAACTTACAGTGGGTTTTGCTTTGTAACATCTTAGAAATCATTTGAACTTCCAAAACCTTCTCTATTTTTTCAACAATAGCTTTTTACAACTGGGGAGAGGCATCTTTTGGACTCGATGGCATACATTTAAAGAATGAAACTATTTTTTTCACCTTGTTTTCAGGACAGCCAAGGTAGCGTAGTTTGTGGAGCAAAGATGCAATCAGAATCTCCTGGGTTTTCTTCCTGGGCAGTGTGAGCATTTGAATCTAATGGGGCTCATGTGGGAGAGAGACAACCCACATCTCGGGCTCTGTATCATTCTTGTGTGAGTTGCCTGAACTTCTTCCAGCCATTTAGTAGCTCTTGGCCAAACTTGTTCACTGCCTCAGCAGTGTTGGCTCCAGCTTTAGGAGCAAGGTGCCCTTTCCGTGGGCCTTGCTTTCCCTTTCCAAGACACCATTGCATGTGCTATCTCCATCTGAGATCAGTTTGCACCATTGCCCAGGGAGGCCAAGGATTCTAATCTCTTCATATGCCATTGTTTACATGTTTAAAGAGGGAAGGTGAACAGCCAGCAGCAATGTTTGAAGAAGATAAACGGCAAGACCAGGAGCCTGCTGGAATTTTATGTCTGAAAGGCAAAGCATATATTGCCATATGCCTTAGCAGGTGCCCAGCAGTACTTGCTGGATGCCAGACCTATTCCTCTGCCTCAGGTGAAGCCCAGGATGTCTCCGTTATTTCTGGGAACCGCAGCTTAACCTGCAGCTTTACTTCTTTTTAGCCCACTATCTGCCACTACTTTATACGCCTCCTGAAGGAGAAAGGACTGCTCTTGCGTTGCTACACACAGGTAAGTCTTATTCTTTGGCAGAAAGAGAGCAGTGCATTTGAATAAAGGACAGTTTTTTAATGCAACAATTTATAGAGAAATCTCTGGTGCCATTTATATATATGCTGGAGTGCAAAGTTTCTTGGGATTTGTAGTCTCAATGCCAGCACAACCTGCCACACTTAATATGTGTGCTCCTGTCATGTATGGACTTCTTAGCCCTATTTTAGCGCGTTTGCCTTCGCCTTCATAGTGGGAAGAATGCCTCCTGGAACAGTCCTTGCTATCTGCAACTCCAAATCAGTTGCAATTCCTGGTTGGGCTGCCTTTTTTACAAGGCTGAATTTTGTTTTGATTTATTTCTCTGTCTCACAGAATATTGACACCTTGGAGCGGGTGGCTGGCCTGGATGAAGAAGATTTAGTGGAAGCTCATGGAACCTTCTTTACTTCCCACTGTATCCGCTCTACTTGCAGGAAGACATACAGTCTGGACTGGATGAAAGGTGATCCTCCAGAGTGAGGTGGGGACAAGGAGGCAATTCTCATGGGGTCTTCCAGGATGGAGGAAAGGGGTCTGAAATAGAAAAAGAATGTGCTTCAGAGGAATTTTGCATTACCATGACATTTTATGGTAGAGAAGAAACACAATGGGTTGTGTAGAAGATACCAGTGATCTCAGTGTTGTGAAAACTGATTTCAACCTGTGATTTCAGTACGTCATCTTGGACTACCTAATGTCCCTTGCAGCGGGCTTGCAATCATAACTAAGAGCAGCAGCTTGTTAGGTGGAGAAGATGCGTATAGAAATATTGCAGAATGGGTTCACTGCTTACCTGGCTTCCCTTTGTTTCCTTTCAGAAAAGTTCTTCTCAGGTCTTGTCCCCAAGTGTGAAAAATGTCAGGGTGTTGTGAAGCCAGGTGAGCATCACTCCTGAAACGGTCCCCTTCCCGGTTCATTTCCCCAGAGTAAGTTGTTATATCCTTGGTCTTGGAGCAAGAGAGCTGAGAGTATGCCCCAGTTATTTCCTGATGTAGGAACTGGGTCAGGGGACAGAGAACTCTAGTGTCTGCAGTAGAGCCGCCGCTGCTAAAGAATGGCCCAGCTGTTGGGAGTGGGGAGGATGGCAATCTTGGGCAACTGATCCCATGAACTGTTGGCTGCATTCCAGATGACTCAGGCTTGGAAAGTGAAACAGAGAGAGACTGGGGAGGATAGGGTAGGTCAAGCTTCTGGGACGCAGGAGGAGGAGGAGATTGCAAGCATCTCAAGGCCAGATGCTCCGCTGAGCCAGGCAGTTCCTGAAAATAGCCAACATGAGCGTGCAGAGAGGAGGGGCCTCTGAGGATGAGGAATCCTCAGATGCAGAGCACCACCCCCATGGCAAGGTGTCAGCAGAGGTGGGAGACACTGTGGAATGAGCAGAGTGTGGAGAGGAGGCATGCTTGCCTTCAGAGAGCCCCTCTTGATAGGATGGGTCCCAGGCATGTTCATAAGGGGAGTTCCTGGAGGTAAATGCTAGACTGAGTTCAGCAAACTGCTCTGTGCATGCTCAGAGATCCATTCTGGGTGATTTGTACTTGGGGACAATAAATAAATGTTGCAGGGAAAACGGTCTGTGGCTGGTGAAACCTCAGCTCTCAACCCAGCCCTTCCCTCCATCACGTCTTACAAAGCCACAGTGAAGGACATGCCTGAGTGAATCAGCCCTTTGTAGAAGCCAGCAAGACTAAGGGGTGATGCTCCTTTTGAGGCATTATCCTTTGCCAATAAATTCCATGGAACTGTAGGTGTTACCTTTGAGTTCATGTGTGTAGGATGTTATTTCTGGCTCTTCGCCGTTCCTTTACGCAAAACAACCCCATGAGTAGATTTAACTAAGAGATGGCCCAAGGTCAACCAGTGAGTTTGTGGCTGAGCACGAGGTTGAATACTGAACTTTTCACTATGTCATACTGACTTGGTTCCTTACCTTTCATAAATTATACAGATTGCTGTAGGGTTGTTTGTAATTTTCATAATGGATTCTGCTTTTGTGAATCATGGCAAGGGGTAAAAACCTAGACTGAAGTCCCGGAAATCTTATTCAACAGTTTCTGTGGCTTCTGAGATGTCAGTTGGCATTTAATACCCAGCCATAACTTCACAGCCCTTGGGGTTAAAAACTTTCTTCTCTTTCTTTTAATGAAAGCTGCAGTTCTCAAGGGAATAAGGTCTGTGCTTCTACAGAAGCATCATGTTACACATGCAGTCCTGACCAGTTGGCACAGTCTCTCTTTTCTCTCTATTCAGACATCGTGTTTTTTGGGGAAAGCCTGCCCTCCCGTTTCTTCTCTTTGATGCAGTCAGTAAGTGCCCTAGTTTTTTTATCCTCAGTCCCTGGGCTGTTACAGCTCCACGTAGACATGTCTGCAGTGCCCATGACCTCTGGATTCCTGAGTTAACCATCAAGACTTGCTCACATGCTGGGGGTGGAAGGCAGTCGGTGGTCCATTTTTTATACTGACCTGTGACTTTTTTCCCTTAGTTTTTAATATAACTTGTTTCCTTGATGTCAGCTTATTGTACGCCACCTAGGGCCTATACCAGAGTGCAAAATCCATGCCCGGGGGCCAAGTCTGGTCGTCGTGGGTCAGAATCCAGCCTTCTAGTCTTTCCTATGAGGCCATGTCCCCTTTCACAGGCCCCATCCCCATTCTCCAAATTCTCATCCATTTGGTGCTTTCCTAACTTTTGTGCCATTTTCTCCCCTTCCCTCCAATTCTGAAAGGTCAAAATACCTGCCCACCCCCCTCCAAAGCTTTAGTCACTTGCAGTGAGAGCTTTGAATTTAAAAATGCTAGCTTTTCCTTTGCTTTTCCAAACTGGAATTTAGCTCTTGGGCAAAGAGGTTGCAAAATAAACCTATTGGAAAATAGCACTGGCCTGAACGCAATGAGCAGCAGTCCCAAAAGGACTGTGTTCCTTCAGCAGTTTTGCAGCAGAAGGCTGTCCCCCGCCTCTGAAGGTGAGGGTAATCACTTCCCCAGTCCTTTGGGTTTTCTCATGGGACCAGCAGGCTTTCCTTCCCATCAGATTTGTTTCTCTTGGTATTGTTGTCACATAGCTGAATAGGTTATGCAGAGTTGCAGCTTGCTCACTGCTTCGCTGATAGGCCGTGATCAATGAAACCTTAACCAAGGAAGAAAAAAAATGTCACTGAAATAGGAACAAATGAGGCTTGCAAAGAAAGAAAAGAAAGCAAACCAGAAAGAAAGACAAATATTCTGGGGGAAAAGGGAAGGAGGGACACTTTAGCCTTGCACTGAGTCATGCTTCGCCTGCCAAAGATGTTTGTGGACAAACATTTAGCATAACCTTAGGAATAAGTCATAGCCATCTCTTATATTGCTCACAGTGGACTTGTTTGTACTTTGTCCTTCAGTTTTGTGGCCAGAAATCATTCTCTGTGTGGTTTGCAACTGTTTACCGTGCTGAGTTCATGCACTGCAAGAGCCAGTGGTTCCCCCCCCTGCTGCATAGCCATAATTGCCTCTGGTCTCATGGGCTTCAAACCACAAGCCCTGTTATGCACTGTAATGAACAGAGCTCTGCAGGAATGTGCAGTTCATCCAGGCCTGCATAAATAATAGCTGGGTAAAAGCAACGAATTGAGAAAGGGCAGGCAGCCACATGGCATGATTGTAGCGGTAGGGAGAGGGGTACAAACAAGCGAAGAGGATCTGTGATAGTCTTTCCGTGGTATTCACAGTCCCTCACAGCAACACTCTCTCTTCTGCTCCCTTCCACCTGTGACCCCTTTATCTGCAGGATTTCCGTGAAACAGACTTGCTTATTATCATGGGCACCTCTCTTCAGGTCCAACCCTTCGCCTCTCTTGTCAGCAGGTAGGGCATTCTGCCGCGTAGGTGCTGTGACCTAGGAGTGATCTTAGTAAGGCACAGTCACCAGTCCCTCCTTTTCGTTTGTTGTTTTCTGTCCATTCCAGGGTATCCCAAAACACCCCGCGGCTGTTGATCAATAAAGAAAAGACTGGAGAGGTAAAATTTGGTTTGGTTTGGTTTGACAAGCTGCACTTGGGTATTGGAGTTGGAGCTGGGAGCACATTTTTCCACCACTTTGCAAGCAAAGTATGTCATTTTCATACTCTGCCTCTTCCATGCCATATTTGAGAAAACATGAGCCTTCAGGATGAAGGATTATGAATGAGTGAGAGCTAGAGATGTCTAGTATTTCAGGAGCAATTTTCTTCATAGATGAGTGCCAAGAGGGATAATATTGACGGTTGTACAAGATAATTCCTGCAATGCCAGGGAGAGCCAGTGTGGGATTGTGGTAAGAGTGTTGGACTAGGCTTTGGGAGATTCACGTTCTAGTTTGCACATGGTCACAAAGCTCACTAGTGACTTTGGGCCATGATCCTCAGTCTAGCCTACCTCACAGAGTTGTTGGGAGGATAAAATGAATAAGAGAATGTTGATTTATTGTTTCCTGGGCGCCTTGCAACAGGAAAGAAAGTGGGTTATACATAACCCATATAAAATAAATCTAGAGTCATTTGAGCAAGTTATGCATAGGGACAGAATTGAAACTTTTGATAGAGAGAGTCCATCTGAATGCTGTTATGTTAAAGTTGACCAACTAGATTGGCTTGGAGATACGGAGTGCTGCAGGAGTCGTTAACAAAAGATACCAGCAAACTTTAAAAGCCAGCTAATTAGGGTTATGCTGAAACTGGTTCCAAACGGAATTCTTCCACTCTCTTCCCAACCAACCAGAGTGAGCTCCACCCTCCAGGTGGCCTCCTTTGCTGTGGGGCAGACGGCAGGAATGATGGATACTGCTCAGTTGACCTGCTTATTTGATTTGATGCTTGACTCTGGGACTGATCAAGCTATACCCTCCTCCAGCTGTACCTGGTCAGCAGTTTCCCTAGAATGAGACTAGTCCAAGTTCACACCAGCCTTTTGGCATATTGTTGGGCCTCTTGGCACTTCAGCTAAGGATTTCGGTCTCGCCTCTTCTTCCAGTTCAGATTCAGATTCTGAGATAACAACTTGGAAGGATGTTTTTTGGGAGAAATGTGCTCAATTCTAAATGCCTGAAGTTTACAGAAACCAGAAGCAATTTGCAGACAATGTGCATCCCTTCTGGGGGTTAAATAGCCCTCTACTGTTTGCTGCTTTTTCATGTGGACTAGATGGTCCTGACCCATATGCTTTTTGTTTAATTGCAGAGTGACCCTGTCTTGTCCCTGATGGGCTTTGGCTGTGGGATGAACTTTGATTCAGAAAAGGCATACCGGTAAGTCACGGCAGGGACTGGGGGTGGGGTATGGCTGGTGGTGAGATCCTAAGTTAAGGACATCTCAGGCGTTTTGGGTCTCTTTAGTACTGTGGTGCTGAAAAAGGGAGTTGTATGATAGTGTGGAGTTATATAAATGGGGATTTATCCCAATGATCCATGTGCACATCTTCTGATTCTATAGCAAACAGCTTCTTGAGTATGGGAGTAGCGGAACCTCATAGCGCAAGCATGGAGCTCACTGGGCGACTTTAAGGAAGCCCTTCTCTCTTATTCTGCCCACCTGCAATGTGGCAAAAGCAGTTTTGGCCTGCCTTGCAAGTGTTAGTGATCCCTGCAAAGAGAGTGTACAGTATGTGAATTGCTTGGAATGTTTAGAAAGCACTGCATAAATGTTGCTCACTGGATCACGGGTCTTTCTGGGGGCCTCCCCTAACGTCTCATTTTCTCTTTCACAGGGATGTTGCCTGGCTTGGAGACTGTGAAGAGGGTTGTCTAGCCCTGGCAGAGTTACTGGGATGGAAGGTATCTGTGCTGTTAAGCCGTCATTGGGGTGCAGTCCATATCAAACTGGGATGAATTAAGAAAGGTCATCTTTGGCTCCCTCTTGCATCTTAGAGAGAGAGAGCAACTTGCATCCTAGAGCAGGTTACATCTCCCACCCATCTTTTGCTTAGATTCCTAGCTTTGCTTTGTTCTTCCCCTCAGAAAGAGCTGGAGGAACTGGTTAAAAAGGAGCATGCGGCCATCGATGCTGAGTCGGGGCAGGCTGTTGCTGATGCGGCAAATGCCTCCTGCTCTTTGGTGAGGGAGAAGAAGCAGAATTCGTCCCCAGAGAAGGAAACACCACCTGGCAAGAAAGAAGAGTGAAGAAACTGGGCAGGACTGGGGGACACTTGCTGCGAATAAATGACAACTCAGAATGGCCACAGGCTGAATGATCCTTGCAGCTTGCTGACTTGTCTAACTTTACTTCCTTAAGGGGCTCGACCGCACGGGATCAACCAAAGGCTTTTGCCTAGGAGAGCATGCAGAGGGGAATCCAAAAGAATGTCAGGTGTTGCAGAATAAAAGTGGAAGAGGCCGAGGTGCCACCTTTCAAAGTCTTTTCTGTTGACTTTGGGAGTGTTTGATGCAAAGCCCTAAACTGCTGGAATTATGGGGGAGAAGCTGGATTGTCAGGAAGCAATATGAATATTCTGAGCTATTTTCCAACCTTTGTGAGTTCTGATTAAGGTTTTGGAGTAGAGTTTTATTTCTAATTCACCTATACAAGAAAATAGCTGTAATTGGGGGTGATGTGGGGTTGGTGGACAAAACCAGCCTTGAACTTAACGCTATATAAAATTATTTCTAGGCCACCTTTAAGAATGTATACCAGCTTGAAAGGATTCCAAGAATAAAATCCTCATAACATGGATACACATTTTAAAAATTCATAAAACATGTTTCAGTAAACTCCAGGAAAATGAAGTTTGACAATTAGAATGAATAAAAATGAACTTTACCAATAAAAACCAACAGCCTAGAGTTAAGGGAAAGCAGGTGGGTCTTCAGAGCTCTTCATTTTGCGAAGTACGAGTTCTTTGGCACCCACTTGGCTGAAAATTATACAGTGTGTCGAATGGTGGTTGGAGTTTTATTTGATCAATGTTTTGATTCTTGGAGGGTAGCCATTTTAACACTGTTTAAGCTTTTACTTCTGTTTCTTGCATTAACTATAAAATTGCAATTAAATATAAGCACCTTGATATTGTGAGAAGATACTGTGTTTCTTTCCCTGTGTGCGACATTGTTCCTGCAAGCAGTTGTGCTTGTGTAGGGCTGTTCATTTTGGCAGAACAGTCGGAGTGTGAAAGTGGGATGAGCTGGGAGCTTATCAACTGGGCGGGCCGTGGCCTGGATGAGTGGTCTTAGGTGGATTCCTCTAGTGTTCTTGGCTCACAGTAATTCATCTGAAGGTGGATTCATCTGAGGAACAGGAGGGGAGGGCCAGCACTGCAGGCCCCAGTCAGAGCCAGGCGGGGAAATCAGCTTTAGCTGATAGCCCTCCCTCAGAACACTCAGAAGAGCAACCTGGACCCCCCTGATGCAGGAACCACAGCCCAAGACAAATCACGCACTGAACGGTATAGGATCAAGCACAAGCAGCAGAAGCGCAAACAGAAGGCCCAGCATGGAGTTTCCCTGAAAGGCAACATGCTGACCTGGTTAATCGGCTGTGTTGATTTATGACCCGCTGGAAATAAGGCTGGCTGGTAATAGCTTGCAGCTGCAAACAACATTGTTTCAGCACTGTGCTTCACTTTGCTCTATCGGACCCAAACAGATGCCCAAACTTTCAGTTGCCCACTGGGACCACTCCTTCAGATATCCCTGACTGATCTAGGCACTTGATACTACGACTCTGTGGATTTAACTGTGGACTTCTTTGATCTCACATCCTCCTATTAACTATAGTGGAATTCCTGTGAATGGCCTGCTTTCTTTTTGCATTTTTCTTGAATATATCCAAGCCTTGACCAGGGCATTTTAATGCCTATCAAATATAAAACATTTAATCAAAGAAAGGAGTACAAAGAGCTGGAATTCTGTTGACAAAATCTTGGGCTTTTCCAGTCTACAGAGATAATTTCAGGTAAACCCTCCCATCCCATTGATTTACAACTGAGCACCTGCTTTTGTTTATAACCAGGAACTCTTACTAGCAGCTGCAAATATGTTTGTGCTTTTATACTATTTATGCAAGCCAGAATCAAAGAACAAACTGAAGATCAGGAAGTGGTTTTCATAGTCAAGAGCTCGCCTCTTTGGATGGCAACATACACAGAACAGTTGTTGCTGGAACCAAAATTGAGTTTGTATGAACTAAAGCTGTGAGAGAGACTGACAGGAGAGATTGGGGTCTAGAATCAGATGTTCTTACAGGTCAGTTTGGGTGGGGAGTGGTGAAGTGTTTAGAAAGTTGCATGGATTTTACTGGATGCAGAATCTTAGAGCAATTTCCTGTTGTTACAAGGGAAATCTTGAAAGCATTTTATGCAGCAGAGTTTGCTAAAGAGTACTAGGTAAAGCAGAATAGATAATATTTTACTTACAAGGATGGAAAATACCTGCACTTCAGTTTGCTATTACTTTGCATTTCCTTCACGCTCATCCCTATTTGTACTGCTCTCTGTTAGATTTAAGGTACAATCCTATGCATGTGTTGACAGAAAAAAACGAATAACCGTACCATATCCTCAATCCTTGGGAACTTTTTGCAATGGTTAATACCAAATGGCCTTGATTGACAGTGTACAAAGAAGGCTTCTCTTTACCATTAAGTTGTTGGCTGAATTCCTGTTTTATTATCTAGGGCAGTAATTGAAACTGGTTATAAAACAGGACACATAAGGCTATCTGTGCATTTCTCTACATGAGGTGTTTAATCCGGCATGTTACTGAAGCTTATTTTTTGGCTTGCTTTCTTGGAGGAGTAGAGGATCCTCCACACAAGATGTTCCCCCTGCCCCTGGAGGTGTGGTTTCCTCTATGCCTCTTTACATACAGTGGGTTCTGTTACATATAACACAGGACAGTGTTGTGGACTAGAGCAGAACTGTGAAATTATACAGGAGTTCTGCAGCAAATTGTAGCCGCATTCAAGAAAATTGCTGTCTTTCCCCGTTCTAAAAGAAATAACAAACATGGCTGCAAAACATGGGAGAGGCCTTGGAGGAAGGCGAGATCATGAAAAGGGCTGACAAACTCCAGTGTAAGCAAGTGTAAAGTAACACACTTGGGGCAAAAATCTCAACCTAGTATAAGCTGATGTGATCTGACCTAGCAGTTACTTACCAGGAAAGAGATCTTGGGGTTGTTGTAGTTTGCTCAACAAAAATACCAGCCCTATCCACAGCTAGGCAAAGTCCACATTAGTCATAATTAAGAAAGTATTAAGGATTGTTCTGTCCTTATGCAAAACTGTGGTGTGACTGCTCTCAGAATATTGTGTCCAGTTCTGTTCCATACACCTAAAAATAATTCTGTAGAGTTGAGAGATGGCGTGGAGAAAGCAGAGGGGAGTCCTTTTTTCCCTCACAGTGACCACGGGAATCCTTTGTTCCTTCACAATGAGACGCATCTCCAGTATCAGAGGGACAGATGCCTCTGAGTGTGAGCTGTTGGGAGAGGCCTGCTGTGCTTATGGCCAGCTGGTTAGCTTCCCGCAGAAGCATCTGCTGCCAGAGGAACAGAGCACTGGATTAGATAGAACCTTGGGCCAACCCAGGATGGATGGTCCTAATCACCCTACAACCCTGAGCATGCAGTGCTCCGGTTCACATCTGTTTTCCCTTTTGCTGCCTGCCTTTTTTAAATGTAAGCGAGCCATCCGCCCCGAGACCACGTGAATACAACTGGCAGAGGTGTAAACCACATCCCTGCCTTTGTCACCGTCACTGCCTGTTTGCATTTCGGTACACCTTTTGCTGTTTCTCCAAGGCTCTTTGTCAGGGCTCTTTCGGCCGCCGCTTCTGAAGCCCATATCCACTCCGCGCATCGTGTGCACACGCAACACAAGGTATGATCTGCCGGGTCGAGCAGCAGGTTCGTCGGTGAGCTTTCAGCAGAACTGCAAACTAAACTTTAAAATGGAGAGTTTAAGACAGGTTGATAGAGGGCTAGGAGCGGGAGAACCGTTTGCAACCTCCCTGCAGAGTGGCAATCTACCTTTGAGGAGTAGGGACTGCGGCAAAACAGGAAAAAGACCTTCTCCAGCAAACCCTGGGTTTCCCGGCTGACCATCAGTTGGGAAAGGGGTCACTGACTAAGCACATCCTTAGGGCTTGATTCAGCCCTTCATCCAGCTTGGAGTCCCAGAGAGCCTTTCCATCGCGGACGGACAAAGACCAGTTGTGTTTCTTCCGTGGTGAGGGAATGCCCACGTTGTTGTTTGGTTTCTAGCTGAAAGGTGTCGACATCTAAGCACACCCCTGGCACGGGTGCTTCACACAAACTTTTGTCTGGAAGAGCGACGTTAGAAGTGGGTACACCTGGGCATTAGTCCATAGAAAAGCTCGGCATCCGTTCCGGCTGCCATTTTTCCTGCGAGAGTGCGCACATGCCGTGTAATTTCCCATGTGGTGTCTCAGATGAAATCTGGTGTAAGCAACAAGGGTTAATTTTAAAAAGGGGCAGAAGAAGCGAGGCCACGTCAACGGCCGCCGATTTGGACGGCTTTAAAAGAGGCTTGTACAAATTCCTGATGGCGCGGGCTGCCCGTGGCCAGCTAGTCCTGACAGCCCTGTGCTACCTCCATTTCAGTGTTGGTGTTCCTCTGTGCACCAGTTCTGGTGTTACTTTCTGTTTCTTTGCACTGGCCATTGTATACAGTTCTTTTTGTCTCGATGTGCTAGTCATCGAAAAGTTGCATTCGAGATTCTGACCCTATTCCCATCATCTTTTGCTTTTGAGTCATGCCTGTCTTTAGCAATTCGGAGTGCATCTTTTGCCATCCGTCTGGTCGTCATCTTTTTTGCTACAAGAATTGTCTCTTCGCACTCCTCTCCAGTGCTGTCTCTGGTTTGAGTCCACAGTTTGGTTAACTGAGTTCGGTAGTGGATTTTATGTGGATTTCAAATTAGTCAGGAATGTTTTCTAGGCTGTATTTTGGCACTGTGCTTCTCTTAGTGGTTACATTCCCATGCTCAAACTAACTGAGGGTGGGAATTCAAGAGGGGGCCTAAGACAATAGCAAAACTCAAACTCAAAAGGGGAACTGAAATGATGAAGTGGTTAGAGTAACATCCCTCATGTCCCCTTCCTTTCCCTCCAGTATTGAGTGGCTTCCCACATTTTGACACACACATGCTCACGCACACCCAGTGTAAAAGGCTGAATTGCTTCCCCTCAGCCTGGTGGTGAGCTTTAAGCTTAAAACATGCTGTGATGTTTGGTGCTGCCTATCTGATTTTCGCCTTCACTCCTAACTGGAATGTGGCCCCCAGGAGCCTCTCTGAAAGGGAACGTGGCCCTCAGCTGCAAGAGGTTCTGTGCTCCAGGGATGACTTGTTTTTCTTCTCCAGGAAGGCCTTCAGGAGGACCAGGCAGAAAGCTTGGAAGGCATGAGCTGTGGACATGAAGCGTGTGGACACTTGGGCATGAAAGATGGCTTGGACCATCCCCAGGGCCAGCAAGAGGCCGACAGAAGGAGATTTACTGGGGTGAGTCATCAGCGGGATTTCATCTCCGTGGGGAGAGAAGGTGCTGATCTGCACAGGGGGGGACTGTGTGGTGTACTGGTTACAGTTTGGCGTCGGGACGCAGAAGACCATGTTTTGCTCTCCACTGATCCGTGAAACTCACTGGATGACTTTGGGCCAGTCACTCACTCTCAGCCTCACCTGTCTCATAAAGTTTAGGATAAATACTGAGGAAAAAGATCACATGCTCTGCCTTGGGCTTCTTGGAGGGAGGGTAACAAATAAATAAAAATACAGTTCACCTCAATCATAGCGCCTCTTCATGCAGCATCGCCTAATTCCGTCTGGGAATTCTCGGCATCACATTGTCATTGACTCAAATAGCTTAGCTGGCTTTTTTAAATCCAATATTCAGTGGGCTCACCAAGGACAGGCCAGTCGATGGCTGTTTGCCGAAACAGACAAATGGAACCTCCCTGTGCAAGAGACACTCTACCTTCAAACACTGTTGCTCGGGGCGGCTAGCAGCAAAAAGGGTCTCTTCCTTCCTGGCCCTGCATTTGGACTTTCCCTGGAGGTCTGTCTAACCACACTTAGCTTTAGAGTTCTGGACCAGAAACTCCCTTGGCAGGTCAGAGAGGGCTGTATGCGTTGCGGTGTAGAATCTATCCAGGGAACAGCCTTGCCCGGTCTGGCAAGCTGCAGATGTAGTCCTGGATTGCAGCTCCTAGCATCCCTCCACTGTCTGGCTCTTTTAATCCATTCCCCAGTCCCAGGAACAAAGATGCTGGGGAAATTGTTTAAAGAAATGTAGGGTTAAAACAGCAACAACCACCCACAGGTGTTGTCTCAACCTTTAAAAAAACCTGCCCCTGCTCCTGTCCTGAGAAGGGCAGTCGCCTTTTTCCGTGCACCAGATTGATGGTCACTTCTAAATGGCTGCTTTAAAGCCCCTTTCAGCCCAAGAGACGAATCACGAGAGCAGAGCCAAAAATACTAGTGTTTCATCCCCCAGGACGGTGGGAGGTTCCTTCCTCTCATTAACTCTTGTCTTTGTTCTCTCTTCCTTTGGCGCAGACCCGAGCACACACTAGCAAATGGGAAATGTGAGGGTCCCATCACACTTCTGAAGCGGCTGTCCATAACCAGATGCGTTTGGGAGCTTCCTGATGGCCAGCCAGGACACGTCAAGGAGATGCTGTCAGCACAATTGCCTGGGGTAAAAACAGCCACCAAATTTCAACGGTGGAGAGCGGGCAGGGCGGGCAGGATCCAACAAGCGAGTGCGTCTCCTGCATTTTAAGGGAAGAAGAGTCTTTAGCAGAGAACTGCAAGTGTTGGACTTGACTGGTTTGTTCGAATCCAGCCTTCCCCAAGCTGATGCCCACCAGATGTGTGGGAAACGGATAACAGGGTTTAGAGTCCCATGTACCTGGAAGGCCCCTGACTGGGGAGAGCGGAATCAGTAGCGAGGAGTTCCTCTCCTTGCCTCTCTGCTGCCTCCTGTCCCGGGAGAAGAAATGGGCATAACAATTCTCGATAAGTCCAGTTGGCTTTCTAGAGCTTTTCTACATGGGACGGTTAATTGCCTGCATCTACTTTCAGTTTCATTGCAGAATTAAGATCCTAGCACAACATGAGTATTTATTTCCTGCCTCTCTGCTGTGTAACCTCAAGGTGGCAGCGCGTTGTAACAGAATAGCTTGAATGGGCCAGAGGAAATGGCTCTTTCCCCGGGCTTTCCCCTGCTCTAGAGAGGCGACCTTTTCACATCCTGGCCAGGCCTTCTTTCAAGAAATGCCTGCAAAGCGATGGTTTGTATAACAGGCGGGAGATACAAACCACTTTGCCCGTCACCACTGAAGACCTGCAGCCAGTCCCACCCCAAGCGCACATGTCAGGATCAATCCCAACAGGCTGTAGGGCCTGCATGGCTGTATCTGGAACTCTGCCTTGGCCATGCCCACCTGGATGATGTTCCAGCGCCACAGCTGCGAAACTGTCATCTCTTGCAGAAGCGTGTGGTGCTTCTCTGTCCATCCCACCATGAGATGAGATGCCAGAATGCGTGGCTCCCTTTCTTTCACCTAACAACAGGCACGCTAATTCATGGGCCCAGTGAAATAGGGGAATGTGTCCCTTATGTTTATTTTGCCACGTCTGAGCCTTTGCTTTCAGAACAAGGGAGGAAAAAACTCAAAAAGTAGATTGCGGGAAATCAGTTGCTGCCCATAAGTTCTGTAGCTTAAATTCTTTTTAGGGCTGAGATAGTAGATGGTGAAAACTACGTTAGCTCTGGGGAATAGAACAGGCGGCAGCAAAGCTGTTTGTGTTTCACTGTCTTTTTCTTCTTTCCTCGTCATGTGGACTGAATTGGCGATGTTTGTTTTGTGTGTTCAGGGCCTTTTTGGAATCTGGATGTGGAGTGGCATACAAATATTCTAAACAGATAATGTAATGCTTCCTCTTTTACTTAAAGGAAAAGAGACAGCAGAAGGTTCTTCTATGAGATGCAAGTAATTATCCATTGTCTTCTCTCCCCGCTCTCTCCCCCGTTCTGGGACCAGGCATTCATTGTCTCTAGGGATGGATCAAGTGGTGCCAGTGATCTCTTCATTCAGACACAGGAAAGCAAGACTGACATTGTCTGCCAATTCACCATTAAGGAGGACAGCTCAGGTGAGCCAGTTTGGGTACTTGAAGGGTGTTCTACACAGGCATAAGGAATGGACCTGCACCCCAGAAAAAAGGTGCCCATTGTGTGGAGGGGGCAGCCCCCTGGCTCCATTTCTTCCTGGACTGTGGTGATCGCAGGGTGTCCCTGAACTCCACCCTGAAGCTTGGATCACCTTGCTCCCCGTTCGTTCCATCTGAATGAGGAGACTGCACAGTTCGTCATGTGGTTGGTGAACGTGCACTTTCAGCCACAGATGTCTTTAAAATGAAACAAAGCCTATTGCTTAAAAGCACACATTTTTCAGATGCAAACACCAGAAAAGCATTTGGGTTCATGACTGCTGTCAGAGATGCAAGTGGAACAGATCGAGGTGAAAAATGGGTCAGAATGAATTCTCGTACATCCCTGTCGCCTAGGCTAGTACATGCAGAACAAATTAAAGATCTTAGGGAGGCTGCTGCCGCCAGACAGTCACAGCAGTACTGGCCTGGACGGACCCAGGTCCGAGTCAGTATAAAGAAGCTTCCAATAGTCCTGAATATGAATGACTTGGAAAGCCAGCCCTGCAACGTCCATTTATAGTTGTGGGTGGCTTAAAAACGAGAAAACGTTAGTGCACGTTAGAAAACAAGAAGCACGTGCTGTCTTCCGCGGTGCATCCACCGCTCACACCGATACTACCTTGCTGTCGACCTTCTCCAGCCTGGTACCCTCTGGGTGTGTTGGACAACGACTCCCAGCATCCCGCAACTGGCTGTGCTCGTGCTTGAGCTTGTTCCCCAACACAGCTGGGCAGCGCCAGGTTGCGGGAGGCTGGGTGAAGGCCGCCTCTGGCTGAGGAGGGAGGGCTTCCTGTGCTTCGAGGGCAGAGCATGGCCTGGCAGCTATTCCGTCTTGAGCGGGTTCCAGGTTAAGTCTTCCCAGTTAGGCAGGGAAGCAACCCCGGCCCGAAACCTTGGAGAGCTCCTGGGGACCATATGGAGCGCGGGATGTCAGTTGTGCATGAAGTCCCATGGCTTGCCGCACTAGCCAGAGCTTCCTTTTCCCACACCTGCGGCTCTCAGCTGCTCCTCGTCCCTGCTCTAGGGACACTTGGGCCCCCACTGCCCAGGCTTGGATGCCCTGCACCCCAGTTTCTCCTTGCTGGAGCCGTCGGTCTCCACGGCCTCACGCCCGGGAGCAGCTTCCCCACCCCTCCTCTCTTGCGCCAACTCTTGAGACTTCCTCGCAAGCGCTCGTCCTCACTCCTCCCCACATGTGCGCACCCTTTGCAGGGCCTGCCGCATGTCCATTGGTGGTTTGCAGCGCTGTGTCTTCCTACTTAAAAGGGGAAGGAGGGCGGAGAGGTAGAGAAATGCCTGCTGTTGCGTGGCACCCCTTGCCACGGCGCCCCGAAGTCCTCTGGGGTTCTCTGGAGGGGCTGGCTCTCTCCTCAGACCTGCTGTTTGGTAGCACGGGTGCTCCTTACTGCCTGCCTCCTGTGAACTTTTTCTGAGCTCCACAACAGGTGAGGGGTGCTTCTTACCGGGTGGGTAGGGCTTCCAAGGAGATAGGATCTGGCTTCCAAGGAGATAGGATCTGGGCATGTGGTTTTCCTCTGCCCCTTTCGGTCTGTAACGGTCCTACAAAGTAGGCCTGGCTAAGCAAGAGTCTCCCAGAAAGGTTGGGGGATGTAGTAGGGTGGATGGGGAGGGGAGAACAGACCCTTCTTATCAGGAATAAGAAAAATAAAGACTATGTCTTGTCCTACTGGAGAGGAAACACGTGCATCTCCAGGCTTTCCCTGCAAGGAAGATGCTTGCGTGGGTTTTTTCCCCCCATTCTTAGAGGGGCAAGTGTGAACCAGAATCTAAATTTGTTTAAGGTACGGCAAAACTTTCTGTTGTTTCCCTTTATACTGAGTGAAGGCGAAGGCACCAGTTCTTCTGTATGAAGGCCATGCCTGGCTTCTTTGTTTTTATTTTGGGGCTTTTGTTTTTTTTTGTAAGCTCATGGTACTCCGGGGCATTTGGACGTCTGGCATCTGTTGCACCTAGCTTAGCACACCCCTCTTTGAGCTGACAGAAACCTTCTGGGTCCCATTCCTGGCATGCCATTGCTCAGTTTGCCTCAACAGAAGGCTCTGCTGGAGACTGTGTACTGAGACCCCCCCCCCCCGCTGCCTTTTCTTTGCAAGCGACCGGTGGACCCTTCCTGTTTTGACAGCCAGGAAAAGCAGTTCTCTTTCTCCAGAACGCCAAAAAAATTGAGCACAAGAGAAGCAAACCACAAGCCACGCCCTGCAACCCCAAGCACATCGCCTGTTCTCGGAACAGGTGTCTTCTCTTACCAATGGACATTTACCGAGAGCTCAACCTGCTGGGAGGGCTTGGAGCTTAAACACCCGAGCTCAGTCCAAAAGGGGCCCAAACGGACCTCCGATTTCGCTGCTGTGGACATGATGCAATGCGGTTTCAGGAGAGCAGGAAGTATCTGTCTGAACGGCTGCAAGCCGTGGATGATAGCCACAATTTGAATACTGTGGTATGAATGCTCATTTGCCTAATTGCAAAGAAGCCTCTCAATTTTTAGCATAGCATTCTTATAATACTGTGTTTTTCAGATGTCACTTAAAAGCAGCAGTTTTACTCCGTGCTGCACCTTTTCTTTCTTCCATCCACTTAACCAAGAGCATTCCTTTTTGTGAATAATGCATTTAATGCGCATTCACCACATACGCCAGCCTTCCCCCACCTGGGACCTTCTAGATGCACTGAGCTGTTTATTCCAAGGATCCCCAGCTGTAGCGCAGCAGATATAATGGGCTCCAGGGCGGGAAATGATGTCGTGTCTGTGTCTGTGAGAAATTTCCTCCTCTACTCTGGGTTTCTGTTTCACTGTTTCACTCAGTCGTACTAATTGATGTGCAAATGTTTAAGCAAGGCCCTAAAATAATTCTTCAGAGGCATTTCGCGGACACCTCTGCAGCGCTTTAGAAATGAATATTGTCATCTTGAGAGGAAGTGTATGGGAGCATATGAAAACCACTTTCTCCTGCGTTAGACCATTTGTCCGTCCAGCGCAGCATCGGTGAGACCACCTCTTGGCAGAGGCTTCTCCTGGATGTCAGGCAGGGTTAACTTCCTAATCCCTGGAGGTAACCAAGATCTAGTGCTTGTGACGCAGGGAGGGTTGTGAGAATCCAGGCTGCTAAGAGAGGCAGTGAGGCCCAGCGCATTTAGAGCAATGAGGGCTAGGTGTCTGTTCGGTCCTTGGTTTTCTCCCGGGTGCTGGCTTGTCTTTTGGGTCCCCTGTCTGGAAACTGCATGGCTTGGTTGGGGCCATTGCTAAGCCCCTGTACCTCATTTTGGACTGATCTGGGGGCAGGGGGCGGAATGGGTTGCTTCTGAGCAGGAGGCAAGTGCTTTTGCCTACCTCAGTCCCATGTTCTGCATACCTGAGGCTTGGAGGAAGAGCTGCTGGGGAAGAAGATGGCTCCTGGGCATCCCACTTGTTTTAGGACCTGATCAAGCTGATTTCAGCTGATCCTAATCCAATGCATGCCTCCCGCACTTGATTTTCGGTGTCAGAATTACACCCTGACCCCAGGTGCTTGCATGTCCGTATTAAATATAGGTGGGGGCTGGAACCTACCACCGCATCTCAAGTTGTGCTTCTGTCTATGCACTAAACCCCATACAGCTTTTCCCACATGATGCCTCCTTGTCTCTTTTGTACAGGCGTTTATCTCAAGGGCTCCCAGTTGAGGTTTGGAGACCTTCTGGAACTGCTCAGCTTTCACCTTGTTAGCAGGTGAGCAGTGGGAGAGGTTGCCCATGGGTGGGGAAGGCAAGGCCGGGGACGCTGAGTCAGGCTTCTCCCTCCATTTGAACCCGTGCCGGTGGGACGCTTCAGAGAGGAAGGTGCGAGATCCGTGGTGTGTCTCTCAAGGCTACTATGAGAGTTTGTGTGGCGTGTGGTGGTACGAATTCTGGACGGGGGCAAAAGACGAAATACTGCTATCCTCTGCTCACGATATGGACACATCGGCGGTCCTGGGGCATGGGCGCCCTAGGCTGGTCCAGCCTGGACCATGAACAGCGACGGGTGGCCTGGCTGGGGACACGGCAATGTCCCGCGTTCCAGTGCTCCCGGCAGACTCCGCCCGTATGTGTGTGTGAGGTTGTCCCTTCTGGCCGTCTCTTCCAGGGATATCCTGCCCCACCTGCTGCGGCTCCCGGATGCCTTTTTACTTCGGCACAGGCCAAAACTGGATGCGGTGGCTGCACTGGGCATGAGTGAGTAAGGCGGCCCGGGAGGGAGTCGTGGCAGCTCTGTGCATGTGCGGCTCTTTTTTTCCCTTGACATGTTTGACTCGCATCTCCTCTGAGCCAGAATCCCTGCTGCTTGGCATTGCGGAATATGTTTTGTCGTCCCAAGAGTGCCTTGTCTCGTTTCCTGGTTCCCGTCTTGATGAAACAAGGACCGCAAAACGAATCAGGGCAGCCTCCTGCTTTTTTCAGGCACAGTGCGCCCCCCCCCCAGCCCCAGTTTTTGCCAACCCCTTTGGCCAACTGTGCCTTTTTCTGGCAGTGTGTGTGAATCAGGCGTCCAGGCCACACAGCTGTTCCCATCTCGGCACGTCCAAGTCAGGAACCGGCACTTTTGAAAGACCTGCCTGCTGTCAAAAGCACAAGCAGGTCACCCCCAAAAACGGAGCTCGCCCCCTCCCCATAGACACTCTCCTTCTTCTTCCGTTTGCAGAGTTCTGGACAATGCCTCTGAAACCCAGCAGCAGGCCGGCATCAGCCCAAGCAGGGCCCACGGTGCTGAATGGAGGCCCTTCTGAACCCGGGCAGGCGGCCTGCTCCATCCGAGTGACGTCCGAGGACGGGGCTCTGTGCTTCATCAACCCCCTGTTCCTTTCGGTGCACACCGATGTTAGCTGGCTGGACCTCGCGCCGGGCCCGTGCCACCTGAGCGCCCGGAGGAGGAGCCTGCAGTTCCTGAATGGCTCGGCTGAGGCGGCGTCTGGCAAGCTAGGGGCCCAGAAGTGTTCGAATCCCCCGGGGCCTCTGGAGGAAGAGGAGGAGCGAGGGAAAGGTGAGGGAGGGGTGCTGCTGTGGGGGCCAGGGAAGCATCGGGGGCAGCACTGCCCTGGCACTGGCTGCAGAGACACCCAGCTCGGAGAGCGCCACTGGGACAGAACGAGTCTGGAGTGCGCGAAAGGGAGCTGGCTCCCTCGCCCGTGCTGCGAGCGCGCATCTGAGCGGCTTTTCGGGGTTGTGTTCATCTCCCCCTAGGACAGAACTGGGGGCTGCTCCCCCAAGTACACTTTTTATTATGTAATCACCATGCCTCAAACCTTGACTTGTATTTGGAAGCGGGTGGGGTGAGATCCAGGACGCCTTATCTTGTCTTCCATTTGTGACTTTCCCATGTTTTCCCATCTCTCGGCACAAAAACCAGGGAAAGGCAGGCCTGCTGCCAAACCGTTTCAGAGCAGTAATGCAGTCAATCAGCAGGTGTTTCACTGGCAGAACAGGAAAGTTGTATTCCAATAGGTAACTGATGAATTCTGGATTTTGGTCCGATCCAGAGGGCTGTGGGGGAGCAGAGAAGTCCATGGTTGGCCACTCTGGCCTGCCAAATGATAGAATAGTTGGAGAGTGCTTAGAATGGGATTCATATCTCATTTCGAAATGTGAACGCTTTAGCTGGGCAAACTGAATGGGGCTCGGTTGACTGGACTGTGCAATGGAAATAATGCATCATTTCCCTCCCACCTTCTGGGTGTTAGTGCAACGAGCGATGGAGGCAGAACTTGTGAATGTTAATGTAACTCCATGATAAAAGGAGAGGTCCAGCTGCCACGATTTACCCAGCATGCCTTTCTCCTTGGTGCCAACCCGCAGGTCTGCTGTGCTCAGCCTCCATGCGGCGGAAGCTCCTTCTTCGCAGCCTGGCCTGGAACAGTTCTGAGCCTGCCTCTGAGGAGCCGCCCTTGTCCCCCGATTCCCTGCAGAAGGAGACCCGGTCCCCACACCGTGTTTCCTGGATCGAGGCCGTCCCCCTGGATTCTCCTGCTGGCTGGCCACTGAAAAAGTCGAGTTCCGAGTCCTCGCTGCTGCCCGAGACGGGACTCCTCCCTCCCATCCCCGAGCTGGATTCGCTCTCCATCAGCAGTGTGGAGGACGAGGGCGAGGGGGCCTCTCCCGCCTCCGCTGCTCCCCAGAAGAGGAACCGCCACTCCTCCTCCCTGCTGACTTACAAGGTGCTTCACCGCCTCTCCGCCGTGGGCAGCGCCTTCAGCGGCTTCCTCTCTGCCGAGCGCCGGGTCTCCAAGCGGGTGCAGGAGCTGGCCCAGGAGCCGTCGTCCTACGTAGGGGGGCTCGTGCAGAGCTTTGTGGGACACATCCTGCGGGGCGCCGGGGCGCGGCACCTCACCAGCACCGAGATGCTGCAAGAAATCCGGCAGATGATCAGCAACCTCAAGGGCTACCTGTGCGAGAGCTCGGAGCTGCGCGCCGTCTGCGAGCACAGCGAGCTGGAGGAGATGGACCTAGGTAAGGCGTGGGGGGAGGTTCAGGCCTGGGGGCAACGCCGAGCCCGCAACCTCGGGGGCCGGGCCACCCCTGGCCCCCCTATTTGGAAGCTGCTCAGCGCCACGCTGCAGCTCTGTCCTCCTCCCAGCGGTCGATCGTTGGGAGGCCACATCAAGGGCATGGTGACCCATCCGTGCTCACGGAGAGAGGCTCTGTACTTTTGCACAGGTTGAGTGGGCCTGTCTTTCCCGTTCACACCCAGCTCAGCTGAGAGCCCTCTTTTAACCCGTCATGGGCTGGGCTGTCTTTGGGGTTCATCCTGCATGGAACTTAGGCCTCAGCCTCTTCAGGGAAGTGGGGTGACGGAGGCTTGGAAGAGAGGATGCATTTCCATTCTGCCTGTTCATCTCCAGCACCTGAGATTCAGAGGCAAACTGCTAGCGAACATGGAGGCTCCGTTTTACGGTCGTGCGCAAGGGCCACTGGAAGGCCGGCTGTCCACCCTTCTCCTTCCGTGGCCGTGCAGTGGCTGGCAAGGTTCCTGTTGTAGGGAGGAGGGGCAGAGCAAAAGCAGACCTCCTCGCTCTTTGAGTGCAACCGCAAACCATCAAGTCCGCTTCCCAGCAAGTCAGTTTTAAATATCTCTAGCCATTTATTTGAGCAGCTGAAAATACTTCTTGGTTTCCACTCTGGGCTGTTGCTGGTTTGCAGCGTCATCTGCTCACGCATAGGTAGTGTAAGAAATGGGTGTTTTGGGTGTTTTTTCTGAGGCCCGGGCTGCGAAGACAGCAGAGGCAGTGGGAGGAAGAAGGAAATGCTGCATGCTGAGAGAGGCCAGGACTGTTTTCTCAGACAGAAAAAAACCCCCCAAAGAAATCCAAATCCCCTTCAGAGCCTCTGTGCTCATTTGCCAGTTCGATTAATCACATCTGAAATTTTTATGCAGATTATGGAACTGTATTTGGGTACCTGGAGATATTTTAACTCATAAAGTATGTCTCCAACTGTTATGGGTCTGGAAAGAACAGTTGGTAGTTTCAAATTCTGTTTTCTGATAGGATTTTTAGGTGGTATTTACTCCACTGATTTACTGTCTTGGAGAGCAAGACAGGGATGGGAAGAAACTTGTTCAGTTTGCATTTTTAATAAGAGCTTGCTTAATTTCACACTCTTGAATGACTGGGTGAATCAAAACTCAGGCCCTCCTTTGCATTTGTGTCTTTTAATTTTGCAGTGGAGTTCTCCAATCAAAGCATGCATAGAACAATGCGTATATTAGGGAAAATAACTTTTTAAAAGATATATATTAGGAAGATTACATGCAAAAATGTATAAAGCAAAAGCAGAAACACAAAGCATATATTAGGAGAAATGTGCTCAAAGACACTTAACAAATTTCCTGCAAACTTTAAAAGACGAATTTCTCAAACCTTGCTCTGAACCACACTTAAGGCTGGGGAAAATGGGAAAGTGAGGGGAACCAAGACTGATGGATTTGTCAATTCTTCCTCCGTGCCTCTTCCTTCCTTCCTTCCGTTAACAGAAGCATAATCGTTGCCACAAAGTAAGGGGGTGTGTGCAAATGAGCTGCATGGGCATCTTTTCTGCAGGGAACTGGATTTGACTTCTGCTGATGCAGAATTGTGGCTGTTTATTCAAACAACCCTGCCAGTTCCAGAGCTGACAGAGTTGAGGACCGGGAGTGCTCTTGTTGGGCTCGTGGAAGTAGCTGCTGGCAGGTCCACATGAGGCAGCCCTCCAGTTCCACACCCGTGCACTGTTTATTTCAAGCAGTGGGGCAGGGAAGGCGGTGGGGGGGGGGGGGACTGAGCTTTCTTAGAGTGTGTTGTTGTGGGGGATGTTTACACCAATGGTTAGGATTGCCACTGCTTAAGGAACGTTGTATCTTTGAACTCACTACTCTTGTGAGGGATATTAAAAGAGGGTAAAGCACAGGATTCCACACACGGGAAGTCCCAGGTTTAAGCCCTGGCTTTTCCAGTTCAGCTCCAAATCAGGGCTGGCGTGTTCAGGCGCTTGCCAAGGGCCTCTGTGCCAGCAGGGGCCCCCGGGGGCGGCTGCTCCTCCTCAGCCCTGCAACCTGCTTGGTCACCTGCTGCTTGCCTGGCCCAGGCAAAGGTCATGTTGAGAAGGGAGGAGGAGCAAAGATGCCGCTCCTTCCCTGCTCTCTGGCTCTCTATCTGCCTGGCGGAGAAGTAGCTTGGTTCTTCCTGAATGTGATCCTGCTTGGAATCAAATGCTTACCAAGACAGTGCATTTAAGTAGCTCCTGTACTGTGTGCCTTTTCTTATTAACCTGCAAATTGTGCACTTTGAAGCCAATCTGGCTGGCTTGCACTGAGATAACAACACTTCTACGTAGAAAGCCATTGTTCGCATCTTCCCGGAAAGGGGACATCCTCAACAGGCATCTCACTCAAGGGCCCTCAAAAAGCAGCTGCCAGCAGTGAGCCCAACTCCTAGCACCAAAGCCCATCCCGTAGCTTCAAGGTCTCCCTCTCTCCGTTAGGTTCTGTGGTGGAAAACTCCTTATACAAATGCATCCTGAAGCCGCTCCGGGACTCGATCTACGCCCAGCTGCTGGACTTCCGCGCCCGTGACGGAACCCTGGGCAAACTGCACGAGCACAAGGTCACCATGAGCCAGCAGAGCCTGGCCGAGCTGGGAGTGATCGCCGGTGTGCCTGACGGGCCTGCCCTGGAGCGGGTCCAGACCAAGCTGAGTCTCATGCACCAGGCCTACTCGCCCAAGAAAAAGGAGACGCAGATGCTCAAGGTCTGCAAGATGCTGTACGAGATCATGAACCAGGCTGCGGGCAAGACAGGTACAGAGACTTGGCAGGGTCAGCACGAGGAGCCGGGAGCACTGAACTTCGCTCAGTCCAGGGGTCAAATTCAATTTTGGGGCTGCGTTCCAGTGGAGCGTTGCACTGAAGGCAAATTGGCCACATGTGTCTTGTGTTCTTTTGCGAATCCCACAGTGCTAAACAAAAGGAGGGAGGCGAGGGAGCCAGCATTTTAGCTTCCAGAGAAGCCTTTTCACCCTTTGGGAATAGGAAAAATACCGCGCAAAACTTTGAAAACTGCCCAGTGGTGGTGAGGAGCTTAGGAAGGGGGCTCTCCAGCAATCCCAGGCGAGTGGAGTTTGGCCTCCGTTTCTGCTCCCCCGGAATAAGTGCTTTCATGGTGGGACAGCTGAGAAAAACTCTTGGAGATGCTAGCTTCCCAGATGGGTGGTCATTATTCTCATGCCCGTTTCTTCCTTGATTCCTTTATTGCATTGAAACGTGTGCCCAAGGGGTCATTTTAGGAGGAGGAAGTATATAAAAGAGTCCAAAGAGGGCTTGCATTCGCTTCTCTCTTCCCCATCCTCCGTTTCCTCTGCCAAGTATGCCCTGAAGTGGACCTTTAATTTAAGCCTTGCCAAAGTCATGCACACACCTGCACTCCCACCAGACCACAGTAGAACATTGCTTTGAAGCAGAATTGCCCACCAGGGGAGGTGTGTGTTGTGTGTGTGGCGGGGGAGAGGATTAATACTTCCCTCTCAGCCATGACCCTTCCTTAAAATTGCCCCCCCCCCACGCGCACACACAATTAAGCTTGCAAATATTGCGGCCAGTGGAAGAGCATTTCCATTAAGTGGTGCCCACATGATGCTCTCCGGCGGCTCCTGCCCCTTCTCTGTCTCTGAGCCCCTACACACCTCCTTGCACCCGCCTGTGATGCTCCTTCGCTTTCTCTCTCGGAAGAGCCTTTCGGTGCTGACGATTTCCTGCCGGTTCTGATCTACGTGCTGGTGAACTGCGACATTGTGTCGGTGCAACTGGATGTGGAGTACATGATGGAACTGATGGATCCCAGCCAGCTGCAGGGAGAAGGTAGCGTCGTGTGCTGTGTCAAATTTGGGCATGTTTCCTAGGAGCTGTTTGCTGGGAACCCCGAGACTGTCTTGGGTTTTCTTGGAGCTCAGCAAGCCAGTCTTAATCTGTGCATCTGCACCAGCTTATTTGCTTCTGCTTGAAGAAACCTTCTGGTAAAGGCAGGGACCCTCTAATGGGCAGGGCAGCACGCGTCTCACGCGAATGGGTCAAAACTTGGCTTCGTGAGCAACTCCTGAAAGATCTGGGCCCAGCGATAGGCCAAGTACTGCCGAATGTGCATGCCCTGTTTTGAGGCTGGCGTTGTCCCCAACTTTCCACTCCGTTCTTTCCGTGCCATAGGAGGGTACTACCTCACAACTTGGTTTGGGGCCCTCTACCACATCGCAAACTTCCAGCCAGCCGCCATGGTGACACGGCAGATCAGCATCGAGGCCCAGCACTCCATCCACCAGTGGCATCGCCGCCGTACCATCTATCACCACCACCGGCGAAACTCACAGGTAAGTGGAGAAAGGAGAATTACGGTGGCGATGGGGACAGAGAATGAGCCAGAGGGCTTCTGGAACTTACTTCAACTCTGGGCAGGGGAACAGGGGGCAGTAAATTAGGACTTGTAATTCACAAGCGTGTTTAAATCAGGCTTCCCCAGCCCGGAGCCTCCCAGATGTTTCGGACTACAACTCTCAGCATTCCTGGCAGCTGCCCGTGCTGACGGGGCCTGACATGCCTGGTGATCACCACCATTGGTGAGGCCTGGTTTAGACAGATGTGTGGTTTCAGACGTGCTGACTTACCATGGTTTGCATGAAACATGGCGAAAGGGGACAAGGACTGGGGTTGGGCGGTTGGTGCCACAAAATTCCCCTCGTAGGTTGGGCCACTTCCTTGGTAAAGTGGAAGAGGCAAGAGGTACTGATTTGGATGGTTTGAGAGCGGGACTGGATGCGTTCACGGAGGAGGCTATCAATGCCTGCAAGACCCGAGGGCATCACGCTACTTCCAGTGGCACAGCCCGTGTGTGTGTGCACCGTGGTTGCTGGGAAACATGGGTGGGGGGTACGGTTGCACTCATGTCCTGCTTGTGCGTTTCCTGTGAGCAGTTGGTTATCCACTAGGTGATCAAAATGCTAAATTAGATGGCCCCTTCACTGGATCCAGCAGGACTGCTCTTACATCCATGGGCCACTGATTCCAGCCTCCCCGTCTGCTTAGCTCCCGGAGCTTTTCCTGTCCTATGTTACGGTCAATTTTGTAAAAGAGCCAGTTCCCTTTCTGTTTGCAAAATGTTCCTCATCTCATCAGTGAGGGTGCTTCTAACTTACCACGTATGAGGGGCTGCTGAAAGCTTCACTGTAAAATACCAAATCGATACCCAGCCTTCACACAGGAAGGGAACATCCCAAAGTTATGGCAAGCCAGACCATGCTACCGGCCTTTCCTCCAGACATCAGTACACTGGAGGTTTATAAGCCACACAGCCCCTCTATGGAGGCTCTCCAGCCTGATGCCATGCATGTGTCCTGAACTGCCAGCACGCACTGGCCTGTTGGCTAGGAATTATGGGAATCTGGAGGGCAGCCACTCAGGAATGGCCGATATGTAGGTTGATAGCTACAAAATCTCTTTCTGAACTTGGTGTTAAAAATGAAAAATGAAGTGGTTGACAAGCAACTGCTATTTAATAGAGCTTCTTCACTCTGTCTCTACAATTTGTCCCAAAGGTAACTGCTTGCTTTCCCTCTCTGCAGAACATCCTCTACATCTCCTTCCATGAACCCTTCAACAACCAGAAGACCATCTTTGTCCCCAGTGACATGACAACAGCCTCTGTGTGTGCAGTGTGTGCGGAGAAGTACGGCATCTCAGATCGGGAGGCGTATGGCCTCTTCTTGGTGTCAGGTGACTCCTCCCAACTCTTGGCCGGGGACAGCTGTCCTCAAAGGCTCCGCCGGGACATCCTCCCATCTCAAGGCGTCCCCGTGAATTTCGTTTACAAACCTAAAGGTGGAGATTTGCCCGCTGTCATTCCCCTTCCTCTTCCGACCCCCAACTGTGAGACTGAAGCGCAAGAATTCCTGGAAAGCGTGCATACAGAGCAACTGGCAGCAGATTGACTATGGTCTCGGAGCTTTCCAGAAATGTTTATTCTTGAGAGTTGCCCGAGATTCAAGGCATCTGACTTGGCAGAACTTTTAGGACAAAAATTTGGACATTTGGGAAGAAAATCTCAGCCAGGAAGCGTCTTGCAAAGATGCAGAAAAGGAAAACTAAAATGGCAAAGGAGTTGGAACAGTCCTCCCTTGAGGAAAGGATACAACGCCAGAAACTGTTTAACTTAGGGGAAAAGATGTGTATGGGAGACATGGTAGAGTCTCCAGAGTTATGCATCAAGTGGAGAAAGTATAGGAGGTATTTTTCTCCCCCTCTCTCAACAGTAGAATTCACGGGATCACCCCATGAAATGGATTAGTAGGAGTTAATTTATGGAATTGCTGTCACAAGATGTAGAGATGGTCACTTGAATGTCTTTAAAGATGGCTTAGGCACATTGGAGCAACCCTCCTTCACTTTTGCTCTAGAGCAGGGGTCTCAAACTCACGGCCCACGGGCCAATTGCGGCCCGTGGGATGATATTTTGTGTCCCCCACTTGATATCAAAGTTTAGTGATAGTGCGGCCTGCACGTTTTTCTCACACGCACCTGCGTGAGTCGTTACCCAAATGGAGCTAATTGACCTGCAGTGCAATTCTGAACTCAAAGCCAAGTTCAGGGAGGTGAGTGGAAAAGCAGACAAGCTTGGACAATTTTTGAGAGAATTGCCCCTTACCTTCCCTGAGCTTTCCAGGATGTTCAAGCGGACCATGTGCCTTTTTGGGAGCACCTATCTGTGTGAAAAGCTCTTCTCCACCATGAACTTTAATAAGTCAAAGTTCAGGTCCAAACTTACTGATGAGCATCTTCAGGCCATACTGAGGGTCTCAGTTGCTTCCTCTCTCAAGCCAAATGTGGCTCAGCTGTGTCAGAGGAATCGCTGTCAGGATTCTGGCAGCAAGGAGTAGGAGGAAGTAAGAGAAGCCTATGTTCTGAAGAACCGATCATGTTCTGAATTATTATTAGTAAAGATTGAGAAGATTGGATCAGTTGTACTTTTTTTGGAATACATGAAATCCTTTTTTGGTGGAATACTTGATGCGGCCCAGCCTCACCCAGACTCTACTTCCAGTGGCCCCCAGGTAAGTTGAGTTTGAGACCCCTGCTCTAGAGGGTGTAAGAGAGCAGGGGCTACATGACGCTTGGCCTCCTGGGAGAGTTTTCTCTCTCTCTTTGCCCAGGCCGAAACTGGACGGGGTTAGCAGAGTGCACATTTTCTGCCTATACAACTCCTCTGGCCCACCAGCATGGAAAAAGGCCACTTCCCATCTGGGGCAGAAAGAAACCCTAGGCTGGGGGCAAGGTACCTGGCAAGTCTCAGGTTCAGCCCCAAGTATCTCCAGCGGAACGGAGGGTTTCAGAAAGACCCTCTTTAGCTGAGTCCCTAGAGGTGCCGCTACTCGGAGTTGACCTATATGCATGTTGGAGGCACTTAAATCACTCTTTGTACCTCTGGCACAGCCTTGGGGATACCACAGGCTGCATTAAGTATCTGCTGGCTTTGAATTTCTCTATACCTTTTGGTCAGTGCTTTTTTTGTAAAAAAAAAAAAAAAAAGGTGCCGGAACTCATGTCTTGGGGTCACACCTTTACACAATGGTCACCACCGGCAGTAAGCACTCAGCGCGTGACCACACGACCGATCCCAAGCCGAGCAGCGTCCCAAGCCGAGCAGCGCCCTCACAATCAGCGCCGACACACAAGCAGCCCGCAGGCACTATCTTCATGATTTTTGCCGCCAACCTGCTACGCCCAACAGGGCGATTCACAATCACTTGGAAAAATCCATCAAAAAAAGGTACCACAACGCTGTTCCGGTGTGTTCTATGACAAAAATAATCCTGCTTTTGGTCGTCGAGGACTCTCAACACTGATTAATCGAGCAAATGGTCAGCCAGGGAACTTCTCTGTAGATCCTTTCCGGTTTCTCTCTTCAGGCTTCCCTCAGTCTTCACATTCACCCATCTGGCACCTTTCCCAGTACTGTATCTTCCCCAGACCACCTACATAAATTAGGCCATTTTAGCCACTGAGCCAACTGAAACCTGGTATTTCTAGTCCTACTACAGTCCTGAACAGAGCATTTTATGGTTTCTTTTTGGACAACGCTGGCTAAAAACCTGTCATCTTCACATTTTAACTGCCTGGTCATTAGTGGTCAGCCTGGGGCATATACCTGATGGTAAAAACGCCACCTTGCTTCCCATAAAACATTGGGAATGTCTTTATCTTTAAAATATTCGGTTGGGAATACCCGCTCAAGACCACAGCATTAAAATTACTGCACACCTATCACGCCCTACTGCTTTGCTTATCCAGACCCCTTCCCACAGAAACGGATCCCTTAAAGAAACGTTCATAAACACCACCGTTGCGCTGGCACCCCTGTGAGCATGGCAGCCCCGTTCCCACCCGCACAGGTGACTACTGGAAGGAACACTGGCCCTGTGCGACCTCCAGCACCAGCCTTTCCAGCCTAACCCGCCGGAGCGCTGCCGCTCCTGCAGGAGCAGAAAAGCATCCCGGAGACGGTGCTGGACGTCACATCAATTCTTTGCTGCCGAGCTCAAGCGATCACGAGGCATCGCGCACTTGGCCCGCAGTCCAGCGCTGCGCTTCCATGCAAGCCAACTGGGAGCAAGCCCTGCGGAGTTCGAAGGGACGTGCTGCGAACGCAACCGATCCGCAAATACCGCCGTCGCGTTCCAACGTGCACCCGACTCGCATTGCATCCCCGGGGCAGGGAAGCGAGGAGCCGCGCCCCATCGGAGGGAAGCTCCCGGAGCGCCGCCTGCGCTGCAAGCACGCGTCCAGGACGGGGCTGCCGCGGCCCGCCCGGCTCCCCGGGGTTTCTGCGCTTGGACGGGCCCGCTGCCTCGGGCGGCCGGGCAGGAGCCCGAGCCCCTTTCGGCGGAGGGAAAGCGCCTCCCCAGCGGCCAGGGAGGAGGCCGCTCCTGCCGCCCGGCGCGTCTCCTCGCCGTCCCTCCCGGCGGCCATGCCAGGAGAGGCAGGGAGGGCCCCGCTGCCGGGAGGGCGGGTCGGAAAGAGCCACGGCGCCTTCGGGAAGCCATGCTGGGTGTGGCGAGGAGCCCACGCCCCCGCGCCTGCAGGGAAGTGCCGCGCCGCCGCCATGTTGGTAGTGCCCGGTGCAGGAGCGCGGGGTCACGCGCCCGCCATATTGGTAGTGGCCTGGCTCTAGCGCGGCGCTCGCGTAGATCTAGGAAAGGGTAGAGCTGTCGCTTTCGGGATCCAGGACGCTGCCGGCGTCCGCAGGCCCAGCCCATTGCCCGGGAAAGCCCTGCGCGTCTGGGGCGGAGGAGCTCGGTCCCTGTTACTAGGCGCCGGCGGGAGGCCGCAGCCGTGCTTTGCGCCTCTCAACCAAGAACAAAACGCGTGCAGTCTGCGTGTGCGAGGGGCAGTATAGGGCAATTGCTCATTGCCCCCAAACCGTGGCCCGCAAAGAAGGCTGCCCCCGCCCTAGGCAAGCTGATTTGGAGATGGGACTCGCGAGACGAGAGAAGGCTTCATGCCGCCCTTTTTCCTGCAAGGAGCTCCAGGCAGCTCGCACCATCCCCGTTCTCTCCATTGTGTCCTCACAACAACCCTGTGAGGTAGGCGAGGCTGCGAGTCCACGGCTGGCCCAGAGTCACCCAGGGGGCTTCAGGGCTCAGCAGCGACTGGAACCCAGCCCTCCCATGGGGATGGCTCAGTTAGAGGCGGTCCCCGCGAAATGCAAGGCCCGTCTCCGTGTCATGGGGCCAGTTCCAATGAGAGGCAGGTTACACCGTGCAAGGCAAGCCCGTCCTTCGTGGGGATGCGCAGCCTGTCTGTGGCGGATGGTGCCAGGTGGGAGCCTCTTCCTGGACGTGGCGCAGCGCCCCCCCCCCGGACACGTGTTTTTACCTTGCATACGTTGCAGAGGCATTTTCCTGGGCAAACGTAATGCTGAATCGTTGGCTTCTCTGCTCCAGCGTTCGTGCCTGCTACAGGTTCGAGGCCCTGCACAGGCGCCCTGTGTGCGGAACATAACTAAATGGACAGTATGTGGCGGGCAAGAACGTACATGAAGATAAGCATGAGTTCCACGGACACCTGAAACGATGGCGGCATCTCAAGATGGTGGAAATGCAGAAGGTGTGCATTTATTTATTTACTTGAGCTTTTCTGTACCATCCAACGACTAGCATCTCGGGACGGTATTGCGTTGTATCTGAGACAAACAAGCTCCCTTTTCAGGGGAAATGCCCAGCCCAGCGCCGACACCCAGCCATGCTGGGCAAGCCGCTGCTTAATGGAGTCTGCTGAGCTTCAGGATCGCTCCATCTGTGCCTGGCAAGCCCCCTCTTCATGGGGATGGGGGTGGCTTCTACCCCTGGACGTTCAGTTTCCTTCAGGGGCAAGTCACATTTTCCTGGGGTTGATTTTAATCTCTCCAGCTAACGGGCAAGTCCCACGTCCAGCCAGCAGAGAGCAGCGCCGGTCCTCCGCTGGGGGGCCTCCGGAGCAGCAACCAGCAGTTTGGAGAGGAATCTGTGGGTCTTCTCTGCTCCACGCCCTGAACTGCGTCCCACTTTCTCTCTGCCTGAGTCGGGCTCGCGTTGCGTTTCCATGCGGCCGCCTGGCAGGGATCGCGCCCGGCGATGGTGGTTTAGCGGATGGCTGGCCTGCCTGCGAGCGGCGGCGCGAATGCAGTTCGGCGTCTACTTCTGTGGGTTGTGCGCTTTGTGTATTGCACGCGCTTGGCTCCCGTGCACCGCGGGTGGCGGAGGGCACACCCCCGTGCGCCTAGCGCCCCCTGCAGGTTGCACTCGTGCTCGGGGTGCGGTGACTGCGTACTTGGCGAGCGCGTAACTTGCTGGTGTTCACAAGCGCTTGCGGAGTTGGGCTCGGCTCGGCTCGCTTGCTAGGCCAGGGCCAAGCGGGGGAAAAACTCCCGGCAGGTACAAGAGAGCTGGACTCTGGGCAGAGCGTCATAGCACTTCTCTGAATTGTGCTTTCCTCCCGGGGTAATGTGCTGGGATTAGTGGGTGCCCAAGGGACACCGTGCGAATCGAAGGCGCTTCCAGCTCTGGTCAGTGAGCTGAGTTCTCTGAGGAGCGAGGAGCCAAGAGCTTAGCCCCTTCCCCAGAATGGGTGCCCGATTCCCCACACGTCTGGGTGCTGGCAGCTGGGAGAGCGGGTGCGGCTAGTTCTGCAGCAGGAGGCCGTGGGCTGAGTCGATCCAGCAACTTCTCCGATGCCGGAGCTGAGCTGACCGAGGTCGACTGCCAAAGGGTGAGGCTGCTGGGGAGTCAGGTGAAGTTAGAGAAGGGGCCAGGAAGGTGCCCGCGGAGGGAGATTCATGGGGATGAAAGACATGCACCTCAAAGAAAGGGGCCGTGCCGCTAGTCCAGAGGCCATTAAAAGCGTTGCTACAGAATTCATCAGACACAGACTGGGGCTGTTCGCTGC